TTTCTTGTAATGCTGGTTTGGTGGTGCTGAACTCTTTCAGCTTTTGCTTGTCTATAAAACTTTCGATCCCTCCATCAAATCTGAATGAAAACCTTGCCGGGTAGAGTATTCTTAGTTGTAGGTTTTTCCCTTTCATCACCATATCATGCCACTCCCTTCTGGCCTGCAGTTTCTGCTGAAAAGTCAGCTGATAGCCTTATGGGAATTCCCTTGTATGTACCTTGTTCCTTTTCCCTTAGTGCTTTTAACATTGTCTAATTTTTGCCATTTTAATTACAATGTGCCTTGGTGTAATCCTCTTTGGGTTGATCCTGTTTGGGACTCTGTGCTTCCTGGACCTGAATGTCTGTTTTCTTTCCCAGATTATGCAAGTTTTCCAGCATTCTCTCTTCAAATATGTTTCCTGCCCCTTTCTCTCTCTCTTCTCCTTGTGTTCTGGGACCTCTATACAGTGAGTGTTAGTGTGGCCCAGTTGTACTGTCCTCACTTCTTTTTATTCTTCTGCAGCAATTGCCACTACTGTCTTCCAGCTCACGGATCCATTCCTCTGTTATCACTTTAATCTACTGTTCTTTCTGGTGTATCTTTCAATTCAGTTATTAAATTCATCTCTATTTCATTCCTCTTTGTATATTCTTTCTTAAAAACTTCTAACTCCTCACTCTGTTCATCCATTCTTCTCTGAATTTCTCTGATCATCTTTACAATTGTTACCTTCAACTTTTTATTGAATAAATTGCCTACCACCTCCACTTCACTTAGTTCTTCTTCTGGGGCTTTATCTTTTTCCTTCACTTAAAACATGTTCCTCTGTCGCCTCATCCTGCCTGATCTGCTGTTTTTATTTCTATGTAACTGCTAGATTGGTTACATTCCCTGACCTTGGAAAAGTGGCGTTTTGTAGGAGACGTCCTATACATCCCAGCAGTGCACTCCCCTCTGGTCACCAGGGCTACATGCTCTAGGGGTGCCCCCTATGTGGGCTGTTGTGGCTAGCTAATTACCATGGGCAGTCTGGTAGGCAGAGCCGGCCCCCAGTCCAGTTGGCTTCTAGACCCTGCCTTGCACAGAGCCCATCAACTAGTTGGGGCCGGGTCACAAGGCAGCCAGTTGCAGAACCCCAGGGGGCCCCAGGAATCCTGATGTTGGTGTCAGCTGGCTAGCTGGGTGGTGCTAGATCCTGGGTTCTCTGGCTAAGAGGCCCAAGGTGTCCCAGAGCTGAAGTTGACCTGCTTGTGGGCAGGGCCAGGGCCTGGGGGATGCTAGGGCTGGTGCCTACCTGCCTGCTGACAGGTGGCCTAGGTCCTGCCATGGCATGCTGTGGTCTGCGGCTAATATCTACCTGCTAGTGGGTGGGGCTAGTGAATGCTCACTGATGTGACGTTGGTCCTCAGCCTAGTGCCAGCTCACTAGTACGTGGACTCAGGGCCCAGGATATCTTGGGACTGGTGCTTGCCAACTGGTGGGTGGAGCTGGGTCCTGGGTTTAGTGTGTGAGGTGAAGTCAGGTCCTGTGCCCCCCAGTGGACACTGGCTGTGAGCTCAGAGGGTCTTAAGGAAACCTTCTTGCTGGTGGGTGGGGCTACCCTGGACCCCAATCTGGCCCACCAGTGGGCAGACACCAAACCCAGGACCACCCCAGCCCTGCAGTTTGCTATGTCAGGACCCAGCCAACATACCAGCAGCAGACGGGTACCAGCCCCAGGACCCCCTGAGCCCTGGCTAGTTGCTTGGCCTGAGATAATCCCTGAACTGGTGCCTACAGGCTCTTGGGTGTGAGAAGCAGTGGTGGGGCTAGGTCCCAAGGCTAACGAACTGGAGGGAAGATTCCAAAATGGTACTTACCAGCACCAGGGTCCTTGTGGCAGAAGCAGCTCCCCAGAATGGCTGCTGCCAGCATCTAGGTCCCCAGGGTGAACTCCAGTTGCGTTGCCTCCTGCCTCTCCGGGAGACTCTCCAAGATCGCACGTGGCTCTGACTCAGGCTCCTTTCAAATTACTGCTTCTGCCCTGAGTCCCTGAGCATGTGGATTTTGGGTGTACCCTTTAAGAGTGGAGTCTCTCTTTCCCACAGCCCTCTGGCTCTCCCCAAAGTAAGCCCCGCCAGCCTTCCAAGCCGTTCTTGGGGGCTCATTTTCCCAATGGCTGGGGAGCCTGATGTGGGCCTCTGAGCCCTTGCTCCTTGGGGACAACCTCTGCAACTGTAATTACTTTTGTGTTTGAGGGTTGCCTGCTCCGGTGGTGTAGGTCTTGACTATACTCCAACTCTTCCTCTCTTACCCATCTTGTGGTTCCTTTTTAATATCTTTAGTTGCAGATCTTTTCTGGTAGATTCCAGTCTTTTTCACCAACAGTTGTTCTCTAAATAGTTATAATTTTGGTGTACCCATGAGAGGAGGTGAATTCAGCATCTTCCTACTCCATCTTGGTCAAATTCCCTCAGTCTCTTGGTGTCTTAATCATAAATTCTCACAAATGGGTCTACTTCTGGATTCTCCTTCCTAATCTATCCATTGTTTTGATTATTCCTGTGTCACTATCAAATGGTCCTAAGTAGAATGCTTTTACATTTTGATATTGAAGGTACTCATCCTTTCTCAGTTTCTTGGCTATTCCTGAACAGTATCCAGAATTTTGAGCTCTGGAGACACAAAAGGTCATTAAATCTAACTACATGAGCCCTGTATTCATCATTGTTGGCCTTTTCCTCTTTTGCCTTGAGGTACAGGTTAGACAACACAGGTCTGGTTAATGGCCACCTCCTGCTCTAACATTTCTTGGTGAAATCCCTGCAGCCACAGCCCAAGTCCTGCTGCAGAGAAAACGGCCCTTGTGGTCAGTCTATAGAATTAGGCCCTTGAGGCTTTGAACTGGTGCCAGGATTTCACAGCTCTTCAATATTAGGTAAAGCAGGAATAGCCCACCAGGGGACCACACTCTACTTGAGTGTAACTGAGAGGATTTTAGCATAGGTGCAGCACTCTGCTCATGACTGGCTCAAGCCCTCTCTCAGTGAATCCTGGTGACCATTCTTTTATATGAGACATTCCTCATTTGAGTTTGTAGCATGAGACTCATTTATTTTTACATCTATTTTAAATGTGCGTAATAAGCCACTTAAGTTCCTGCATCAAAACAATATAAATAGAAGATAATATCTGAGTATACACTACATGCTAAATTTGTAACTATGAAGCTAATATATGTGAATCACTCACAACAATCACCTTAAGAGGAAACTCTGTTCAGCATCACAAGGCTAGCAGTACACAGTGAACAAAAACTGTAGCTCCAGAACCCACACTATTAACAACCATGCCGAGCTGCTTCTCCCAGTGGAAAATTTAAATTGAATTACAAGGTTTTTGTCACAAAAGCCAGCAGCCCCTGCCACGTCAGCAGAGAACCTGTGCTGAGTTCCCAGATCGGGATGCCTCCCCCTCCTGATGTGAGCGGCTACAGCACCAACACAAGATGCTTTACTTTTCAGCTTCTACTGCACACTCAGCCCCATCACTGGGTCTAATCTGCTGAATTAAATATATTTTCCTTCAGGTTTCCCCAGGATTCTGGGCTCCTGTTCTCTAGTTTCCTGAGGTTCACAGGTTCATCTTTGGTGAGTTTGCTGGTTTTCTCACTGTTTCTCTGCTTCTTCCTAACCACACTCTTCAGTGCCTACTTCTCAGCCATCCCAACTAAACACACAGGGTTTTCAGTGAATCTGTGCTAAAGAGTGACTTGTTCTGTGGACCCTTTCCAGGATCGCAATGTTCCACCCTATCCCCTGGGAAGGAACTATAGAGCTCAAGTAAGACTTCAAAATGTTTTCATGTGAAAATACCTCACCCCCGCAACCTCTCATGTCATCCAAGCACAAATTCTTCTTTCATCCTGTAACCCCCAGGGTCAGTGTTGACTGCAGTTCAAAGGACAAAGTGAAGACTTTAAGTGTCACTTAGCTGAAGACTTTTCTCAGCAATCTGGAAAAACCCTGTTCACTTTATAATTTAGGAGAGAACAACGACTCACCTTCTGGCAGAGCTCATGGTCACAAGGGAAGAAAAAGTCTTACTGAAAAATATTTTAAATGATTTAAAAGCAATGATTCAACAGTAAGATTAACAGGCCATGCACAGCAATGCCAGTTCCCTGAAAAGCATTCCTTGCTGTCAGTTATCAACATGGGGAAGGTTCAGCCTGTGCAGAGGCCTCCACCTCTCCTGCCGGAACTGGCCTCAGCTATGGTTCCATCCTGGCCTGGGCCTGACCAGCTGGTGTTGCTGCTCATGAAGCCCATAGCCCTGCCTCTGCCAGCACAGGGCGTAGTGGCACAAAACGCTTCAGAGCTGTAGTTGTCAAGGTGGGGCATTTGCACTGCACATGGTACAAAATATCCACTGGCGTCATGCAGGAAAAATTAGTATTTCTAATTTTTAAAGATAACAGTAATAAAAAGTTAACTTCATTGTATTTTTAAGTGACACTGGTACCCTCACTGGGATCCTCATGCCATGGTTCACCTCTAACAAGATCAGTATCCTAAGGTCATAGAGGCAAATTCAAGATTATGACCAACTGCAACTTATGTGCTACAGGATGTAGTGGTTTTGTGGTCCCAAACAGTATGTACCCCCTTTAAGAATGCTGTTATTTGAACTTGGAAATCACTTTCTGACCTGTTGACAAGTCTTCCAAATGAAGAATCTCAGTGGGTTTTGACTCATTTATTTAAAAAGTAATAAATGCAGCCAAAGAAGCACCTATTCTACTTGGATTTACATATGTTTGAGACATACTCTTTTCAGTTATGAAGGTCAGTTTATTTTGAGAGTTTTTAATGAACTTTCAACTAGAACTTCAGAAAATGTTAAGCCATGATTTTAAAATTGTTTCTCAAAACAGGCAGAGTAGAAAGACGTGAGCTCACCTCTTCTTACGAAAACACCAAAATCACAACTGCAAAACAACCACTGACAAAAAAATGCTGGAACCTACCAAAAAAGATATCCTACATCCAAAGACAAAGAAGAAGCCACAACAAGACGGTAGGAGGGGTGCAATCGCGATAAAAATATTTCTCACTTTGCTCAGTACGTTTCTTTTAGAGCAAAAAAGTGTTTTTTGTACTGTTAACCAATAAAATACTTAAAAACATTTATTTCACCATAAATTCATCCATTACATCTTAATGTGTATAATAAATAAGTGGTAAATTTTAATATATAATTTTTAAACTGATAAATATGTCCAAACTTCTGGCATCTTATGACTCTAAGGTTCTGTTTCAGTTACTAGTGCTACGTAACAAACCACGCAAAACTAGTGGTGTAAACGCCATTGTTTTATCATGCTCATGGATTCTATGGGTCAGGAATCTGGAAAAGGTACAGGAAAGATGGCTTGTCTCTGCTCTCTGATGCCTGGGACCTCAGCTGGAAGACTCAAAAGCTGGGTGTTGGGATCATCTGATTCACACCTGAACCACGTCTTGTGGCTGATGCTCAACACAGGCTGGGACCTCAGCTAGGTCTCCTGGAGGGACACCTACATGTGGCCTTTCCATGTGGCTGCTTGGGCTTTCTCACAGCATGGTGCTTGGGTGCCAAGAGTAAACATCTCAAGAAACAGGACGTGGAAGCTACCAGTTTCTTCAAGGTCTGGGCTTGGAAACTGGCCCAGCTACACTCCACCATATTCTGTTAATCTAGCACTCACAGAGCCCATATTCAAGGGGAAAGGACTTAGACCCAAACTCTCAATGTATTAAGAGTGGCAAAGAATTTGGGGAACACGTTATAAAACTTGCACAGATTCTAAGGTTGGGGCTCTGTCTACCACACTGGTCTGTCAGCTGCATAAACATCTCCACATTTACAGAGCTTCCAACTTTCTCTTTTGATCTTGTGAAGTACCAGCTTGGCAGGCATTTAATAACTTGGGACTCCTCTTCCCCCTCCTGGATCCCTAGTGACCTCTACCTCTATATCTCTACCTTAGTTTTCCCACTCTGCTCCCAGATCCCACAGAAAAGCTCCGCTCTCTGGAACTGTTCCACTGAATACAGGCTAAAGATCCCCAGGGCACTGGTAGGCTGCCTTTCTAAAATGAGGCTCACAAACCCAACTTCTAGCTTTTATTTGGCAGGGAGGGAGGGGGAAGGAAGAAGAAATGAGCTTGTTTGGCTGAGTGACCTAATCACAGGAAATCATGGATCCTCCTGCAGAAACCCCTAGACTAGCTGGATGACTGTGTCCAGCCTGGGACACCACACAGTGAGAACTTGAAATTACAGCAGATGCCCAGGACAGGGAAGAACTCGAAGTCCTATTTTAAAAGGAGAGGCTGAAGAGTTCCTTAAACCACAGAAGGAAACAGTGAAAGCAGAAAGAGACGACAGTGTTTTCATGTATTTGATTGCTTGTCAGAGGGAAAGGAGAGAACAGAGGCGCTCTGCTGTTCCAGGAAGCAGAACAAGAACAAGTCAGAATTTTAAGGAGTCCAGCATCCAGAGGCTATTTTGTGGCAGTCTGGGTGAGAGATGATAGCAAGCACCGAGAGAAGAGAGAGATCAGAGACATTCTGGAGAATAACCTGCCAGGACTTGGTGAGGAACTAGCTAGGGAAGGAAAGGATGAAGGAGACAATGGTGTTGAGGATTTGGGGCTGGTCATTCAGAATAACTTCTAAGTTTCTTCCCAACTCTCAGATACTGAAATTCTATAAAAGTTCAAACTATGACAGGTGTCTCTGGGATGAGGGCATGAAATTATCCCTGGAAAGAACCTTTGAGTGAAGGCTGCCAAGATATGTGGACTGGCCTGGCCTCAGTGGAGGTGAGACGGGTAGGTCCACCCTTCAGCCCATCAGGATGCTACTCTTACCTTCCCTCTTCAGCCTAAACTGTCTCCACTAGATAAACTACTCAAAGGCAGCCAGTCTCCCACTTACTAAGCAATACATCCCTAAAAGGCAGCGTACTAAAGCACCTAGTGGTGTGTGTGTGTGTGTGTGTGTGTGTGTGTGCAGGGGTGCAATGCACCTGGTACATGGGACCACACGGCTAGGCAGAGCTGCGTAAGACTCCAGGAAAGAACCTGACCTCCATCAGTTTAACAATCGCTCAAGCCACAACCTGGAATTGACTCAAACATGTTTATTGAGCTAAATCAGCAAGGCACAAAAGAGGCTAGGAAAGACATTCCCAAAATACAGAAAAACTAATGGGCTCCTTCCATTCAACACAGGCAGTGCCCCTCTGCAATACTGAGGTGAAGCTCCCACCCCTCCAACCAGCAGAAAATAGGCACTCTGCTCAAACAGAGGGACAGAGCCATGGTGCACCAGGAAGGACAGGGGGCTTATGACTGCTCTATCCTAGCAGCATCAGAGAAAGGTCAGTCAGAGAAAGGTCAGGTTAGAAAGGCACAGCCCACCTCTCCTTCCCCTGGGGAAGGGGAAGGGGAAGTGATGATTCCTTTTGCTCCGTTTCCCATTGGCCTTTTCCAAGTGGTCATGTCGTAGAGGTGGGGAGTGGAGATGGGGAGTGGAGATGGGGAGGGACATAGGGTCATGTCAGAAATCCTACAATGAGAAAGATGAAAGTAAGATACAGAGACCTAACAACAGACCAAAGGGCAAAGAGATGACTGCAAGGTCCTCCAGAGGACAACTCTCATTCTCTTCCTGTACCACCCCTCCCCCAGGATACCCCTAAAGCCCCAAGGCAGCTGAGACAGCAGGCCAGGGGCTGTGGCCTTTCTTTCCACCTACTTGACAGGCACATGTGCTACCTGCCAGCATCTCCCAAGGATGCACAACTCCTCTTAACCTGCCTTCCAGTCTGTTTTGGGGACGCTCACCTCAGTGTTCAGCTCTGTAAAATCTAAGAGGTCCAGCCCGTGCTCACTGGGGGAAGACTGCTAGAGAGAATGGGATCAAAAATCAGAAAGGTGCTTCCCCACTCCCATCACCTGCAAACAACAACAAAAGGTCCCTTTCCAGTCTCTTGTGACAAGCTTGAAGGCTGGGGTAGGTCCCTGAAGCAGCCAGGGAGGGAAGAGGAGCAAAGTCAGAGTGGGCAGCAGCGGCAGAGTCATCAGAGAAGTGCTTCCTCTCCTGGCCTGCCAACTGAGACCCTTAAATTTGTTCAGCTTTGGAACGAGAGAATGGGGTTTTTCCTGAGGGGACTTTAGGAAAGACTAATAGAGGCCTTGCTGTCTAGTCTCTGGGTTGAACATGTTATCTGGTTTTCCCTTTGAGCACAAGACCTCCACTCCCCTCTTCTACTGTGTCCTTTCTCCACCTTCAAAGAGAAGAGAAGGGAGCAGAACAGCAGCAGACACACAATCCTTTTCTGTTTATAAGGCGCCTTCACTTCGTATTTTGTGTAAAAGGTCCATTTTAAAGATGAGGGGATTGAGAGGGGTTAAGGAGCTAACTTGATAAAGTGGTAAAACGGGAAGACTTTTAGATCTCCTCACTCGAATTGCATGCTTTTCCTACTGAACTGGCAGCATATCCTCCTGAGGAAGCAGGCAGGCAAGGGTAGAAAATGGAGTGACTGGAGGAAGAGGGACTGGGGCAGCCATCTAAGGAGAGAGGAAGGAAGGTCGGCTGTGCCTGTGTGCGTGTGTTATGAAGAGACTTGCTGAACGGGCTGCAAGGTTGGAGACTGGGTGACCTTCCATCTCTGTCTAGCTCTAGGACTCCCTTTAATTCTTAGTAGATTAAGAGGCAAAATACCTATAAGGGGATTGAGAGTGTGGCAGTGCTATTCCAGTCCAATGGTATTTAAAATTTTCCCCCCCTATTTCCTTAAAGTCCAAGCAAAGTCAACAGCAACTTATAAACCCTTCCTCCTTTACTCTATGATTCTTTCAAAACATCTTGGGCAGCTTCCAAGGACAAGGCATCATCAGGACAGAGGAGAATCACAATAGTTTCTCTCCCTCACATCTGCTTCCAGTTCTAGAGGGAGAAGGGACTATTGGATCCACTCACCTTGCCTGTACCTTGCCACTCTTCACTTGAGTCATTCTGAATTTCTAATTCTTCTACATCCTCTTCCATCAGGCTGAGCCTGGAAACAGTGGCAAAGAGTAGAGGTTTTCAAGGACCCCTGAGAGTTTCTCAGAGGCACCCCAGGGGAACAGGGTGGGCAGTAAGCAGACCAGGGCTCCAGAGTCCCACTCCAGCTTCAATCAAAGCAGCTCTACTTATATCTGTTTTACATACTAGGGTTCCATGTTACACTGGAAGGAAGTGTTCTGTGGTTAAAACAAGTCCACAAAGCACCAGCATAGAAGCAATGAGAAGGAAAGAATCCCCTCACAATGGGTGACATCTGAAGTGAAGACAGAAGATGATGAGAAAAGCTCACCGGGTCAGCCGGCTGCCCAGACCAGGACCCAAAGAGTTGAGTGGAGTCTGGAAATGCTGTGGACTCGAGGACCTTAACCTCTGGGCACCTAAAAGGGGCTGGCTGTTGGGAATGAAGGTGGATCAGTGACAAGGGTTAAAAACAAAGGTAAAAAGAGGAGGTAAAGTGGCCAGCATGAAAGCCAGTAAAAAGCTCAGAGTGGAGGGAAAAAGAGAAAATGTAAAGCTAAAGAAAGGGGAAAGGACCGGAGAAGAACCCGAGAATGAGGGGGTGCTGTGGGAGGGAACAACGCAACAGAAATGACGAGACACCAAACTGGGACATCACAGCCAGGCTCTCCTGGGGCCGCACCCTTGGGTAAATGCCAATTCTGAGCCGCCGCCTTCTTCCATCTCTTCCAATCCCCCCAGGGGCTGCCTACTTTTCACAGCCGTTGAGGTGAGGGTGGGTGTGGGTGGGATACTGTTCAGCTGTAGGCTTTCCTCCTGTGATGCAGAGATGTCCTCTCTGTGCCGCCTGGAGGGGCCTGCAAAGCAGCAGAGGCACATGTTAACTGTAAACCAGGTACCACCACAGACACTTTTAGTTTTTCAAGACCTGCTCAGAATTTGGTAAGGAAAAGTTATAAAAGAAGGGAATGGAAAATCTAGATGGTCTCATTATGACACGACTAAAAACGAGTACAGCCCTATGTACTATAAAAAGTAGGGTTTACAGAATTGTACCAAGGACTTGTCCAAGAAAAGCTCATTACACAGCTTAGAAAACAAGAAGGAAAGAGACATACATTCCACAGATAAACAGTAACATACAAACACGAATGTGAGAGGGTTGGAGTCCCTAAGATTGAGAGGTCTCAGTTAATCAATGAAGACATCTGAAATCCTATTCATTCAAGATTTCTGTAGTGAGAAAAAGCTTAGAATGGCCTGAAATGAGGGAGGAAACATGAGGGTTAAGGAGAAACAGAAAAACGGGAGACTGGATTTTTTAGAAGCCAGAAAAAATGAGATAACGGCAATGTCAGCACAGTTTTAATATGAAGGGTAAATGGAAGACCTGGGGCTCAAAATATTAAGGACTCTCTCCTGCAGAGCTCTAGGAAGGCAGAGGAGGAGAAAAAAACCCAAAATGTCTTAGAAAACCTAGATAATGCTATTTTTAAAATATAAGTCAAATCCATATTAGTATTTGTCAACTGTAAACGTTCATACCCCCATTATCCTCCCTCCCCACAGCCTTGTTTGTACACTGAAGCCGGCAACCGGAGAGGGAGCTGCTTCTGGTTTAAGCAGAGGGCTACCGAAACAGGGAAGAGCCACGTCCGTGAGCTGTGTTCCCAGAGAATAAACCTTGGGCCCCCACGTGACTCCTAATCTCTCCAACCTATTATCACTGGTGTAATGTCCACAGATTTAGCCCTGGGACCTCTCCCTATCTCCATCTTCACTGGCTTCCTTAGCCATTCAGGTTCATGACTTTAAGTACCAACTCCCACATCTATCTCAAGTCTGCCTGCCCCCCTCCTCCGAATTCCTGTCTGTCCAACATCTCCACCTGTAGTAACATGGCTCATACCAAAGCCCTGGTCTCATTTCTCACTCACAGCCTTCCCCATCTCAGGTGCTATCAACTCCATCCTTCCAATTATTAGGCCAAAATCCTTGGAGTCATCCTCAACTCCTTTGTTTCTTACATCTTACATTCTTTCTTATTATGAGGTCCTATTAGTGATATCTTGGAAGTATGTCCAGAATCTGGCCGCTTCTCACCATATCCGCTGCTCCCCTGGCTCACACTCTCATCTCCTGTCTGGGCCCCCACAGCAGCCTCCTCACCAGCTCCTTGGCTTCAACCCCTGCCTCTCCTTCGGTCGGTTCTCAACACAGCAGCCAGAAGGAACCCCTTAAAATTTAAGGCAAATCCTGTCAATCCTGTGCTCAAATCCTCCAATGTTTACCCATCTCACTGTGAGTAAAAGCTGGAGTCTTTATTCTGGCTCGTATGCGCTGGACTCCTACAACCTCTTTGGTCTCATATCCTACACAGTCTCCATTCAGCAATACCGGCCTTCTCTGCTGTTCCTTGAATGTGCCAGAGACATTCCCACCATGGCCTCTGGACCGGCTGCACCCTCTAGTCTGCTATTCTGATATACACAAGGCACCCCCTCTTTCACTTCCTTCAGTTTTCTCCCCTGCATTCACGTTCTCTCCAAGGCCTTCCCCAATCACTCTTTGTAAGACTGCAATCCCCACCTCACCAGTATTTCCCCATCCCCAGTTCACTGCAGTATTCTCAGCACAACTGAGCACGAGGTGCTCAGTAAGTGTCTGCTGAATGAACAATGGAACCCATCTTTTCAGTTTTCTCCTACCTTTACAAACTCTGTTTTAGGCAAACCAATCTATACATCTATGTGCTTTGGCAAAATCTTACCTTTCTATGTTCTGCTTGTGCTCTTATGCTAGCCCATGATACTCACTCCTCTGTTCAACTTATATAAATCTTACCCATTTTTCAAGATCCGGCTTAAATCCCATCTTCTTGATAAAGCCTTCATAGATCAACTAAACTTAAAATGATACCTTCCTTCCCTTAATTCTATAGCATTCCTCTGTCAAATCCCTGGGAATTTATTACTTACTGGTGACTTCATAACTCAGATTTTCTATAAATGTATTTTCTTTCTTTTCTATTAGATGGTAAGCTGCTTGAGAATCCTTCATGGCCTCTAAAACACCTAACACAGTATCTCGCATATAGTATGTCCTTAGGTGGTATACAAAAGACAGTAAAAGGAATTCATATCCTACCTCACAACACACACAAAAATTAACTCAAAATGGATCACAGGGTTTCCCTGGTGGCGCAGTGGTTGAGAGTCCACCTGCCGATGCAGGGGACACGGGTTCGTGCCCCGGTCCGGGAAGATCCCACATGCCGCAGAGCAGCTAGGCCCATGAGCCATGGCCACTGAGGCTGCGCGTCCGGAGCCTGTGCTCCACAACGGGAGAGGCCACAAAAGTGAAAGGCCCCGGAACCCAAAAAAAAAAAAAAAAAAAAAAAAAAATGGGTCACAGACCTAAATGTATTAGCTGTAACTAGAAAACTCTTAGAAGAAAACACAGGAATAAATCTTTGTGACTTTAGGCAATAGCTTCTTAAGACATCAAAAGCACAAGCAACAAAAAAAAGATAAGTTGAATTTCACCAAAATTAAGAACTTCTGTATTTCAAAGGACACCATCAAGAAAATTAAGACAACCCACAGAATGGAAGAAAATTTTTCTGTACCATACATCTGATAAGAGACTTTTGTCTAGAATATGTAAAGAACTCAACAAGAAAAGGACAACCCAATTTTTAAATGAGCAAAGGATTTGAACAGACATTTCTCTGAAGAAGATATACAAATAGCCAATAAGCATGTGAAAATATGCTCAACAGCATTAGTCCTTAGAGAAATGCAAATTTAAACTACAATGAATGAGATACCAATCCACAGCCACTAGGAGATGGATAAAATAAAAAAGACAATAACAAGTGTTTGCATGAATGTAGAGAAACTGGGGCCCTTGTACATTGCTGTTGGGATTGTAAAATGATGTAGGCACTTTGGAAAACAATTTGGTAGTTCCTCATAAAGTTACACATAGAGTTACCATATGATCCAGCAATTTCAGTTCTTAGATATATCTCAAGAGAAGTGAAAACCTACATCCACACAAAAACCTACACATGAATGTTCACAGCACCATATGCCTAACAGAAAGTGGAAACAACCTAAATGTCAATTAACTGATGAATGGATAAATAAAATATGGCATATCCACTCAATGGAATGTTATTTGGTCATGAAAAGTTATGAGGTACTGATAAATGCTAAGCATGGATGAACCTTGAAAACGATGCTTAGTAAAAGACACACAAGGCCACATACCATATGATTCCATTTATACAAAATGTCTAAGAATAGGCAAACCCAGAGACAGGAAGTAGATTAGTTATGCTGCCTAGGCTGGGGGAATGGGGAGAATGGCGAATGACTACTAACATTTTAAAATGTACCCTAGGGCTTCCCTGGTGGCACAGTGGTTTAGAGTCCGCCTGCTGATGCAGGGGACACGGGTTCGTGGCCCGGTCCAGGAAGATCCCACATGCCGCGGAGCGGCTAGGCGCATGAGCCATGGCCGCTGAGCCTGCGCATCCGGAGCCTGTGCTCCGCAGTGGGAGAGGCCACAACAGTGAGAGGCCTGCATACCACAAAAAATTTTTTTTCAATAAAAATAAAATGTACCCTAAAAAGCACAAACACACACCTCAAACTTGTGATTTCTAGGATATTACCACTTAAGATGAGACTATATTTTTAAAAAAAAAGAAAATCAGTTTAAAGAAAACAACAGGTAAATAATAAGACAGGTAGTGATCTGAAGATTAAAAAATCACGAAGATTATATAAAAATCTTTAAAAATTGGAAAATAACAAGATGTCACAGAGAGGCATCCTAAATGTACAGATTTCTGAGTTCAATCTCTGGTTTTATGATTAGTTTCTATTTAATTTTTCACAGAAGTTCGCTGTTTTTAGTTGGCTAGATAAACCTTGAAGAAAATGAGTACCATTAATGATAGTAGGTGATTAATGAAATAATTATTTAACCAGACGCAAGAGTTTGAAGGAGGCAAAAGCCAATATGCTGCGTATCTAGGTAGTGGCGATCAAAGAAGTAGCACTGAGCACCCTGATACCTGCATTCACAGCACTTTACCTTCAATGCGCCTCTTCTTGGAGCGGGGGTAGCCCTGAGGGTTGGCCTCTGCTGTACTCTCTACAGGGCTGAGGGACTGGCAGTAGGTGGTGACTGGACCCCAGGGACGGCCAGGTGCCTGGGAGACACGTTGCAGACACTTTTCCAGGTAGGACAGTCTAAGAAAGGGGTGGGATGGAGAGGGTGAAGTGGTCACAGGCCCTCGCCACACCCTTCTTCTCTAACTCCCATCTTTATCCACCCACGCCCTAACTTACAGCAGCTGCTTGTCCTGATGGAAGAGTCGGGGGGAGAACTCTGAAAGGAGCTCCAGGAATGCCAGATTTGGGGGCTGACTGGAGGAGCCAGCTGGAGGAAGCTCAGACAAGGAGAACCTGATGCCTTCCCTTGGTTGAGCAAAATCATTTTAGGAAGATAGTCCCTTCCCACTTCCCTCCCAGGGCTGAGGCATCCTGTCCAAGTGCTTCTTCCCCTGGACCCAGCCTGTCTCCAAAGGATACCCGCTCACCAACTCTACTGCGACTCCTCGACATGCTTACCCTCCCCCTCTGAGGCCTCACTCCCAGCCCTCCCTGTACCCAGCCTCTGGCTCAGCCCTCTTAGGAAGATTCAAGTCCCTTGCTTTCCAACCAATACTTCCTTACTTGTGTAGCATGACCACAAGGTCACGGTTCTGTAGCTGCTGGGGTCCAAAGCTCAAGGCAAACCTCCTGGCCAGGTCCCTCATCTCGATGAAGGCTGGAAGCTCATTCAGGCCCTGGGGCCCCTGTTCCTGCAGCAGTTCTGTGTATAACTGTGTCCAGGAGACATGGCACATTTGGGAAAGGGAGAAACAAGGAAGTATAGCATTCCCTTCTCTGCCCAGAAATCCGAAAGGGCTTGGGACACCATCTGCTATTTTTACTCTTTCTTTCCTCCTAGGACACTGACCCTATTCCTGACCCCCTTGCAACAGAGAGAGGCTTCACCCTGCTCTGTAACAATAAAAATGTCTGTAGTAACTGAAGGGGTTGAGAGAGAACAGACTAGAAAAAGAATTAGGAATTCCCTATCACTTTATTGTTGGTGCTCCCATGTCCTAACTGACGTGGAGTTTCTATGGGGTTGGGGTGGAAACTGCCCACAGTTAAAAAAAATACTTTTTATGGCTCCGTTAACTGTGAAGATGACTGTCATGTGGAATAAAAGCCAAAGTAAATCAGAAACTTCCTGCTCTGAAGGATCTCATGTTCTAGACGGCTGTGGGTGGGCTGCAAGGAGGGCACGTCAGGTCTGAGGCACTGTAGGCAGAAGGGCATACCTGCTTGAGGCTCAGCAGCAGGATTCGGGAACAGTGACTTCGGTCAATCTGCCTTGCTCTAGTTAACGTTTCCTTGATAATGTCACCATAGTCATTGTAGAACTGATGGAAAAGAAGTGGAGAAGATACTGTTTGACCACAGGAAAAAACTATTTGTTTTGTTTCTTTCTTCACAGCCCTAACCGTATCTCTTTCTGAAACAGCCTTAGGTAGGGAAATGTGAACCTAAGCATAAAACAACTCATACTAGACCACACTTCTAACCAACAGGTACAAAGCCCCAAAGAAATCAGTTTAGGCAAATAAGGGAAGAAACTCTGCCCTGAGCCCATTTCTTGGAGAAGGAGGATATTAAGCCTGCCAGAGACCAGTGTCATCCAGCACCGAAGCCTTTGCTATTTGTCTCTCCCCACTAGAACAGAAGCTCCAGGAAGAAGGAACCGTTGACTATTTTGTTCACTGAGGTGTCCTTAGTGCCTGGGATAGTACGTACTCAATAAAGAGAAATCAACACAATTCTGGATTAAGGAAATGAGGTATATATCTAGGTATCTTGTGAGGACTGAACCCTCTTCCATTCTTATTTCCCTTTCTTACATTACCCCATTCCATAGACTAGATTCACAAAAAAAAAAAATCTGGACAAGAAGAATAAGATACTTTCCCTCCAATGAATTTCTTCCTCCTAACAGTTTTTTCTCCACTATTTACTACTAAAGTCTCTTTTCTTTGTCCCTTTATTCTAAACTATTGGCCTTCCCCCCTGCTTCTCCTTTTAAGCCTGATACCATCATCTCTCCAACCCTCCTTTCTGTAGTGCTACAGCGTCTGCAGCCATGGCCGTACTCAGCTTGGCGCCCTGCTGTACCTTGTTGTAGTGTTTGAAAACATCCGAGGCTGCGTCCATCTCCAGCACCCCATAAAGCAACAGCTTGCAGAACCCAGCCAGGAGGCGGCGCCGCTGGTGCAGCTGCTCTATCTGTAAATGATCCTCCTGGGAATGACCTGGTTCACATCAAGTGCAGAATGGGAAACATCAGAATCACAGATTCAGACTTCCTGCCCTATATGCCTGAGCCCCAGGTATACAGCCCCTGTACCACTGCCCAATCCTCCAGGCTGGATGAAGACGTGGTCCATGAGGAAGCTGGCCAGCTCAGACTGGAGAGTGGCTTCAGGAATAAAGACAAGGGGCCTAAGGAACTCTCGTCCCCCGACAATCATCTGAGGGCCAAAGATGAGCAGCAGATCACTTAACAATACAAAAGCCTGTCAGGGAAAAAAAGAATGCTTAAAAAGGACAGAATATTGACCAAGACAGAAATTACATTGCCAATTTCCCCTCAGAATGGGGTTTCCTCAGACCACAGGGTCGGGGTCGGGGGGGTGACTCACATCCTGACATACACTCACTTGAGAAAATGCTCACCTGCTCCTGAATCTCAGGATCCACATCTGAGAGGCAGTTCTGGCAGAGTTCACAGAAGGCCACCATCCTGCCCTTTAAATTCAACAGCTGCTTCTGTGGAGACAATGGCTTCAGCAGGGAGAAATGAAGGAAGACACGGACTCCTCCATTCCCGTTCCCCCTACTCAGACCCATATTCACCTGGGAAGCACCTGATCCAGAAACGTGGGTTAGTGTCCAGAGAATGGAAAAATAGACAAGAGTCAAGGCTGGTAAGATCACCTGTAACAACCAAATGTGACAAAATGAGGGTCAGGAGTAAGGGGCAGGTGGGGAGAGAGAGACAGACAGGCAGATACACACAAAGGAGGGAAAAAAGAAAAAAGCAGACAGAAGAGAGAAAATGAGATTAGGAGAGACCCAATTCCTTTTCCAGTAGAAAAAAACTGATTCTGGAAGTCTTCAGAGGATCCTATCCTGAGTAGGAATGCCACCTCTCCCTAATTTATTTAAAGTCTCCTAGACCCCCTCAATATTATCCTTGACTCCCCAGAAACCAGAGAGAATGGCTGTTTTCAGGTGCTGGAAAGTACAGTCACCTTCCAAGATTGGGATGGAAGGAACGACACACATGATCAAGATCTCTCTCTCTCATCTGCTCCACAGCCCTGGGACTCGAACTGCGTATGTGGTGGCCACCTAGGACACGGCCCGTAAAACTCCTCTCCTGCCTCCATGTCTCCAACTTGTCTACTTGCCTGGTGAGGAACCTCTCCTGTGTCCACAGCCTTCCGGAGGAGTCGGTAGCAGGGCTCATAGAGCTCCCAGCGAGTTAGGTCATGGGCACTTTGGGGGGCGGGGAGAGAAAAACGTTACACTGGAAGAGAATGAGAGGAATCAACCCCACAGACAGTGGTAGAAACAGAAGGAGCAGGAGGGGAGCTGCTCACTTGTAGAGGGCAGAGAGGCGCTTCAGGGTGGCTGCCAGACTGTACACCTCATCCTCATCTAGGAAGGAAGACTGAGGAAGAAAGAAGGTCCACAGTGGGATTTTCCCAAGAACTCACAGATCCACACCCCCATCTTGGGGCCTCTCCCACACAAGTCTGGGGTGTCCCATCACGCAGCCCCACTTCCAACCTGCAGCAGCTCTTCAAGCTCCTGCTGGAAGCGGTCAGTCAGCAGATCCACAAGTTGGCTGCGGGCAAAGTCCACCCGGCTGAAGAACGTGAACTCCGGATTACAGAGCAGATAGAGGGCATGAGCACCAGCCTCAAGCACCGCTGGTTCTGCGTGCTTCACCACCACCTCTTGGAGCTGCTGCAGGAGCAGCTCCAGGTGCTGAGAGAGAAAACGGTGGGAGAAGACCGTGCTGTGGGGGGGCAGGGAGGACAACTCCTCCGGGAGGGTCTAGAGGTGGGGAGGAAAGAAACAGGGTCGAAAGCTTTAAACTTCAAGGATAAGATGCCTCAGAAAGGGAGGGCTTATTGGTTTTTCTAGAATCCAGGTTCTTGAGAAAAACCGGATACTGGCAGTGGAACCTTTGGCCCTAGGATGAAAGTAGCAAAGTATAGGGAACGTGTCCTCCTCTCTCCTCACTTTCTCCAAGCGCCTGGTGCAGTAGATGTTGAGGTCAAAGTAGCTGAGAAGCTGCAGCAGGGGAGCAACCTTCTCTGCATCAGCTGAGAACTGTGGTGATTGAGAGAGAAGCCTACTTATTACCTGCTACACTGCTAATCTGGAGGCCAGTTCCTTCCACCCGCTCATTCCCAGAGGCTGAGCAGTGGGGACCCTCTACCTTGGCCAGGAGCTGGGGGAGCAGGGGGATGAGGTGCTCAGTCAGCTTCACCTTGTCGTCGGCTTGGATCTTACGTTCTTTGGGTGTTAAGCCCTGGAATTACAATCATTTGGGGGTGGGGGTAAAAGTGTGTGTTCATGTATTCTTCTGCCCAACAATTTTATCTTCCCAGGAAGGAAAACTCAGCAGCTCCCTTCAATTTCTTTCTCTGGAAATGGAATTCTTTGAGGGGCAGAGGAAGGAGCACCTGAACCTAAGACTTGAGGATTAGGACAGACAATATCTGCCCGGATTTAATATTGCTAAGCAACCTACCCTGCCCCTCTTGCCATACCTTCCTCCCCGTGACCCGCCCCACAGGCGGGTGACCCTCGGAAGCTTGCCGGACACTGGACACAAGGATTTCTGTCAGTGTGCTCTCCTGTACGTCGCCCAGGTCTGAGGTGGCAGGAGGATGGAAAACAGAATCACAGGGTGGCCACCCTCCATCTCCAAGGACCCCACCGCCCCACCGCCCATGACACCTATGCCTTTCACAAGTCAGGAGAGAAATCTCTCCTGGTTTCCTACTAGGAGATGAGAGGTCCCCTCCCCTGGCTACCAGGTGGCACACACTCTGGTCCTTCTCCAGCAGCAGGCTTGTCAGACTCTCCCAGTCCTTCAGCTGAGGCCCCGCACAGTCCCACAGGCTGTCTACTAAGTATGCAGCGTGGTAATGGAGCTGTGGAAGAAGACAGATGTTAAGTTACTGAAGCCACATGTTAAAACTCTAGAAATTGGCTACTAATGAACCATTTCTCTCCTTCCTGCAGTGCCACCTCCCATCCTTCTCTACCTGAAGGTCTTACGCCTGAGAGCCCAACAGCTCCTTTTCATACGTCACCTCACTCTCCACAAAAAAGGACAGCAGAAGGTGGAAGAAAGTCCTCTGGGAGCGTGGACTTCGGCGTCGCTCTCTCTCACCCACCGTTCTTGTCTCACACTCAGGGCAGAAAAGCCTGGTAGAGGGGACACAGGGAAAGGGCATAGCACGGAAGGAAGGAAGCAGTGCAACAGTTACCATGGAAGGAAGAAACAGTTCAAGGAGAGGATTAAAGAAAAAAGAGGCACAGAGCTAAGGAAAGCCCCAAGGTGTTGAGAAGGGAAGGAGACACCAAGGGAGACTTTATAGGTATGGGGAGCCCTTAGAAAGAGCACCAGCACATGATGGAGAGAAAACAACAGATGATGGTGTTAAAGGAACAAACGAAAAGAGGCCCACTCACTTCCAGTACAGAAACTCCCCCACAGCAGAGGCCAGGGCTCTGTTAGAGGCATACACAACAGGGTAGATGCTCTCACAGTCTGCCTCTGTCAGCATCCCTTCCATGTTCCTGCCAGGAGAAATGCAGAACAAGCAGGTGGATATGGATGTAGTCCTCTAGCCTCTAACTAAGGCTAGAAACAAAAAGGGAAAACCAACAAGGATTAACTCACAAAGAACTTCCAAATGGAAGAGTGGAAAACAGAGGGATATGAAGAGTTAGAGAAGATAGGAAATTTGCCCCCTGAAGATCCTGCAACTCGGGAGTGACCTCTGTCTTTCAACCTGTACATAAACAAGAGTCAACCTATGATCCGCGGAGGGACAGGACTCTGGAAGGGCCTGTCTGATGCTGAAAGGTAAGTCTGAGATGCTTGCCTCTCCACTTCCCAGGACTCACTTAAGGATAAGTGTTAGTAACCTGACGGCCTCCACTGCCACGTCATACTCTCGGTCCATGACCATGGAAACCAACCGGTCCTGTAAAAAGGAGAACATTGCTCAATAGCTCATTATATCCATCCCAAAACACCTCTTTCTTAGAATCTGAGGGATTCCTAAAGACAGGGTGTAGAAGCAGACACTGGGATATCTATGGATATATAAAAGTAATAGACATGGATAAATGAGGTGGGGAAATGGGAACCACAGAGAGAGCCAAGCACAGGAGCACTGTCCCGATTTTACCTTAAAGCGGCTGGTAAAGAGCTCCAGGCGTGCAGTCCAGTCTCGGTTGCCGTACAGCCCTTTTAGAGCCTTCAAGCACTTCAGACGGACGTCTCGATGCTACTGAGGAGAAGGGAAATGTGGCTGACTCCTCCTCTACTCACCCTCACTGGGCCTCCATACCTCCCTCTCAGATTACTCATTCTGGGCCTGGGTGTCCTCTGTATCGAGGACTCTGAGATGTCTCAGAGACAATGAACAGCTGTCTTCTCACTTAAAATCCAAAAGGATCACAGCAGAATTTAGCAATCGTGATTAAAAGGATCTTTTGGCTACCACCCTAGCACTTGCATTACCACCCTGTCAACTTTCTCGCCTTTCCATAGGGAAAGTCCTTCTCCACTCGACTGTGGTTTTGAGGCATTTAATCTCCTAGATATATCTTTCTCTCTCCTAACTTATCCTACCCTCCCAAATACTGGGGGAATTTCGAGGTTCAGTGTCTTGATGAGTTGATCACTGACCACTAGTGAAACACCTAAGTGGCAGTACCAGGAAAAGCTGAAGCATCCTAGGGCAGGGAAGAGGACTGACTGAACTCTCACCTTATCATGCAGGGTCCAGCCAATATATTTTAAATAGCTGTCAGTGAGGAAAGAGGTACTGTAGCTTTGCATCCAAGACCCAATCTCCTCAATGCAGATAGCACGGATCTCAGGAAGGACATCCCTAGGCACAGAGAGAAACTGACCCTTATTACCTTCTCTCCAAACTCACTTTCCATCCCAGCAGATATCTCTTTGTCACAGGAGAATCTATTTTCTTGACTAAACACCAGGTACTAGGCCTTTCATTTCCTCCTCCCAATGTGAATATTTTAAAAAGTGAACACTTTCTTTCTGTAACCAACCTATAAAATAGTTGAACTTATCCTCCATGCCCCTTTTAAAAACCGATTTTGGAATTTAATTTAGCTGTTGCCCAAACTGCATGTGTGTGTGTGCGTGTGCGTGTGTGTCTAATTGAGGTACAGTTGATATACAATATAAGTTTCAGGTACAACATAGTGATTCACAATTTTTAAAGGTTATATTCATAGTTACTATAAAATATAAGCTATATTCCCTGTGTTGTACAATATATCCACCTGTCTGTTTTGCTTCCACTTCAAGAAAAGATTACATCAGCTAAAGGGTTCTGGAAAGGCAGAGGTTGAAATCTAGGTAAGAGTAAGACACAAATACTGAGGAAGAAGTTCTTTACCCAGTATAAAACTCCCCTGCCGGGCTTCCCCGGTGGCGCAGTGGTTGAGAGTCTGCCTGCCGATGCAGGGGACATGGGTTCGTGCCCCAGTCCGGGAAGGTCCCACATGCTGGGCCCATGAGCCATGGCCACTAAGCCTGCGCGTCCGGAGCCTGTGCTCCGCAACGGGAGAGGCCACAACAGTGAGAGGCCCACGTACCAAAAAAACCCAAAAAAACACAAAAAAAACCTCCCCTGCCTTTAGCACAGTGTAAGGCACAGTGAAGTGGGCTAGGAAAAGGCTTGCCGAGCTGTACACCCTCAGAAAGGTCCTGCCTTTTGGCTCTCTGCTCTTATCCTCTCAAGGCTCAAGCCCCAGAAAGATGGGGGAGGGGAGGTCTCAGGCAAAGCTGGAGCAGAAGAATACTCAGCAATGCCTTACCCTCTTATTGTCTCTCCCAGAAAAGTTTACACGATCCTTTGTAGGCGGGGATAAACTAAACCTAATTTGGAACATTTGTTGCCCCAGCTGCACTAGCTGTGGGACTAACCAGATAACTCAGGGTTAGGAGGAGACCTTGTCACTTCTACAGACTCCATAACTGAGGACCAGCCACTTCAATGAGAGGATCCCAGTAACTCACCTGTACCGATGTACAAAGACACCCCTGAAGAGGGCATTCATCATTCCCTCAATCTCCTCTTGATGCTCTTTGAGCTGGAGGACAGGGAGTAACAGGTCAATCTCTCATGTCCCCCAATAATATAAGGCCACAAAAATATAAGAAAAGCATGACATCCACCTACTTCCTATTAATAAGAGGACACAGTCTGAACCTCTGGTATCCTTTGTTCCCTTTTAAACCTTCTAATTTTTTTTTTAAATTTTCAGGACATTTGGCTTTACTTCCCACACGTTCATAATACTTCTATCTCCCCAAATCATTTTTCCCCCACATGAGAAATATACATCTATAGTAAGGTATGAAAGTTACAGGCCTCTAACTTTCTCTTTCTATGGATTAGATAACTTGGAAAAGAGTATCACCTACTCATCCACTTGTGACAGTGGACAGGCCGGTGAAATCAGGCAGTCAATAGATACATCTAAAATACAAAGTTGATGAGAAGGGTGGAGTTTGCAAACAAAAGTAATTAAACTAATCAGTCAAAAGCAGCAAAAAAGAAAATGTAGCCAGTAAGTTATCAGAATAGAAAAAGGTTAAACCTTCTAATTCTGGAAGAAGCTGTATAGTCAACTAATGCCTCAGAGATTTGTGTTTGGAAAAAATAATATCCCTTCTGTGTCTCATTATTTTGACTATCTTTGGCTATTCAGAGGCCCTAGCTGGTAGTTATACATGTTTTTGACTAACAACAATCGGGAAAAAAATTTTAATAAATGCAGTTTGACAAAAGAAGCGCAACAAAAAAAGAGAAGGAAGAGATTATATCAGTGGTTCTCAACTGGTGGCTCCCAGGGGACAGTCAGCAATGTCTGTAGACATTTTTGGTTGTCATAACCTGGGAAGGTACTACTGCCATCTAGTGGATAGAGGACAGAGATGCTGCTAAACATCCTGTAATGCCAGGACAGCTCCCTAAATGTCATTGTTGAGAAACCCTAGATTAGATGAATAACAGATAACAAAGAAGCAGAATTACAAGGGAACATTCTTTAAGACAACTGCCCCAACTCTTCAATAAATCAATATATTGGGGGAAAATGCGGGGGGGGGGAGCAGAGGTTCTGTATAAAAGAGACTTAAGAAACACAACAACCCAATGTAATGCATAGTCCTTAATTAAATCCTGGTTGGAATTAACCAGATATAAAAGGTATTTTGGGGACAAGTGGAATATTTTAAATATGAATTGGGATTAAAAAATATTAGGGAATCATTGTTAATATTTTTGGATATGAAAATGGTATTAGGATTATGTAGTAACATGTTTTTTAGATGACATACTTAAGTCTTTAGGTTGAAATACCAATATGCCCATAATTTAGTAGAAAATAGTAAAAAAAAAATAGATGAAGCAAATATAGTGAAATATTAGTTAAAACTAAATTTAAATCTAGTTAAATCTAGATTTAAATTAAATAATCTAGTTAAATCTAGATTTGTATGTGGTGTTCATTCTACCAGTGTTATCTATTTTTCTGAACGTTTGAAAATTTTCATACTTAAAGGAAAAGGAAAGAGAGGGAGGGAAGGAGGAAAAGTGTGTCATCAGTACCAAATTCTATGTAAATCGAAAAGGATACTGAAAAAAGGTCATTGGCTATAGGGATTAAGAAGTCACTGGTTTGGGCTTCCCTGGTGGCGCTCTGGTTGAGAGTCCGCCTGCCGATGCAGGGGACACAGGTTTGTGCCTCAGTCTGGGAAGATCCCAAATGCCGCGGAGCGGCTGGGCCCGTGAGCCATGGCCGTTGAGCCTGCGTGTCCAGAGCCTGTGCTCCGCAACGGGAGAGGCCACAACAGTGAGAGGCCCCCATACCACACACAAAAAAAAGAAGTCACTGGTTTGTTGAAAATAACTTGAAAGAAAAAAATGGGGATAGAAGCTAGGTAGTGAAAGGATTCATTTGGATATTAAGGAAGTAAGGAAATACTAAAAGGAAGGATAGAAATGGAGTAGCTCATAGAGGAGAATGAAAGAAGATTCAAGGGCTTATATACATTTATAAGTGGAGAGAGGAAAACAGTGGTGAGGGAGAGATTAAAGACAGAAAGCAAAACGATAACTGATGAAGCAAGAGCCCAGAGAAGTCCAAATAATAGGAGTCACCCTAGTGTATATAATTTAAGATTTGACACAGACCCAGTACACATAAGATTTAAGAGATACTGACAGTGAAAATAGCAAAAGAGAATCAGGAAAGTATAGATCTTTCTCTAATGATTTAGCATGGAAGATATGTTTGGTGAGAGCTGGAAAACAGTCAACTGGCATAGTTACACATGATGAGTCCTGCCAACCTCATGGTGGGGGAGGTCTCAGATACTTAGGGGGAATGAAGGGAAAGTCGGTGTTAGTCTCATGATAGACACAGCTGTGTGAAGGTTTAATCAGTGTAAAAGATTTTGTTGGGGTTTATGTCCTCCAGTGGTCTTCTTCAAGTTTAACAGGCAACAAAGCAAGTACCTACTATGTGCCCAGCTAGGCAATTTATTCATCTCATTTAATCTTCACAAAAAGAATTATTCCATTTTTAAAGGAAAGGAAACTGAAGCTTAGAGATTACATAAGGCCATGGAGCTAGTAGCTAACTGGAACAGAATTTAAACGCAGGAGAGATTGAAAGGCCTGTGTCCTATCCATTCCTTGAAAACTTGGCCTCCTGCATCAGTGGTTGGCCTTCAGTACTCCTGTGGTAACCTGCATACTGCACACTTGACAAGAAAGTCAATGCTTAACCCCCTGCACAAGATGCAGGCACAACATTTAAACACCTGTGATAATGAATGCAGACAATGGAAACTGAGCAAAAGTGGAATTATAGAGAACTCTAAAATTTACTCTAAACTAGAAATGCTCTATTGAGCCCACATTCCAGAAACAAAGTGAGCATGCAATAACCTCTGACCGGAGGAGTCTATTAAACTATTGCCAGACTCCATCATTCACGATCTCAAAGCTTGCCTGGGGGACTGTGCCTTAGCAGAGAGAAGCTTGGGGACTGATAAGGTGGGCTGCAGCAGCTGTGATGGAAGCCAGGAGAGGAGGGAAGAGGCAGGGAACACTTCTCACCTCTTTGTGTTTCTCCAACAGGCTCTCCAGTCGCTCAGGTGCTCTCTGTCCTGGCCCCTTGTTTCGTTCAGTCTCGTACTGACGTTGATTGTTGTCCTTGTGCAGGCTCAGTTGGAAGGCAACTCTTACCAAGGAGGTCATCAGCTTCATGGCTTTGAGTCAGTAAAAATAAGATAACGAGATCATTAATTAAGTCAGAGGGAGGGAGGGTAGGTTCAAAAAAGAAGGAAAAAAAGGGCAGTGAAAAAGAAAAGCTAGAGCAGGGTGACCCTAAAATCCTAAGACTCACTGTTCTGGAGTGGATTTTTTCTCTCCCTAACTCTTTTGGGCTTCCTTTAATGCTTAGCATATTCCCAGTGGTGAGCTATAAGAAACACGTTAAGGCTGGAAACTATCACTGTAATCCACTCCTTTTTACAATTCCACTAATGAGAAACTGGATGGAGGTTTGGGATGAAAGAAGCATGACCCTGAAGTAAAGAGCTAGAATGCAGGTAGGAAAGAAGATACAGGATTGGAGAACAGAGGAAAGTTCTACCAACCCCCAAGAGAACATTGACAGAATAAAAGTGACTGCTTACCAGCCAGGGTGCTAGTGTGACGGAAGGCACGGACTTGGGAGTCTGAGAGGCCAGTGAGCAGAGAGATGAGGTTGTCTATAGGGAAGCCATCATAGAGGAGGCTATACTGGCACCGATAGACCAACGTCCTCACAAATTCACAGAAGCTGCCCTGGAACTTCTTCCAGGATGGGCCTGGAGCTATCAGAGGATAGTCTCCTGAGTCCTATAAAAGAGGTTATGAAAAGGATGGAAAAGTTATTACCAGGTCTATGAAGTCACAGGGACTGGATGTCAAAACCCAATAGTATAGTAAAAATGTATCTCTTATACCTCATTCTCAACTCTACAGGCCTATTCAGATAACGTGTATAGGTCCCTTTTGCTCCCAAGAGATTAAACTCCTCTTTCTAAAAGCTATCCTATTTCCCAGAATCAGAAAGAGGAGGATAATGGGCCTTGTATTTTGCAAAAAGAGTGGCAAGAGGATCCTGGACTGTCTTCCTCCACCTCATTAAACTGTTCTGTTAGGTGCTGGATGATCTCCGAGTTGGACATCTTCTTGAACATCTCAGAGGTCACAGTGCCTGAGAAATGGAGGAGATGAGGTACTTAGAAGGTAAATAACAGGACACCATGACCATTTAACATACATTTGAAGATGAGCTAGGAAATATACTGAAAAGAGCTTAGATGGGGAATCAGAAGACCTGAATCCTAGTCATAAATCTGCTGCCATCTAACTGAGTACCTGCTATAAGGCAACCTCTCTAGAAAACCCAAGGGAATCAAATAGTGGAAAACTATGGTTTAAAAAATATTCCAAACAATCAAAAAACAAAGAAAACTATGCCAGATTCTTATAATACAATCTGCTGACTTATAAGACTAAAGTTAGGTCATGGCCTCTGGGGACCTGGGGCCCCACAGCTTCAGTGGAGAAATATGCAATGAAGTGGCTGAGAAATAAGGAATAAGAAAATAAAAGATTATTTCATTTAGAGAAAGGAAGAGTAAAAGTCTGATGGTCCATTTCCAAATTTGTAAACATCATACCATCACAATAGCATGATTATTTATTTTTCTCCAAAGGGTCTTGTCTCCAAACCAATACATTTCCTTACTGGATCTCTTCCCTACTTACCAATCAACAATGTAGTCGGCACTAGTTAAATAAGTGAAATTTTTCTTATGCTTTTCCCTCTCCATTTATTTAGGAAATGCCTAATCCTACACATCTAAAAGGAGGAAAAGTTTTACAATATAGGAGCAAAGGCTGGGGATTAGAAAATGGTAGGAGTTTCCTCACCTTTACATCCACATGATCGGATGAAAAAGTTAATGAGCTCCAGGAATCCTGCATCCTGGTCTTGCTTGTAGCTATCCAGCCACTCATCTACCAAAGACTAGGAAAACAATGTGGATGATTTCTATTTCTGGCAACATGACAGACTAGAAATTCTGTATAAGCTTTCTAACTGAAGCATCTAAACTTCTGATTAAAATATTAAGACATCTTTTAAAATGTATTGCTAAACCAGAATGAAAGATAAAATTCCATAAAAGCCAAAAATGAAGTGAAGGTAGCAGTTCTGAGAGATAAGCAAGGTGACTTTTGCTCTGAGGGGTCTCTTAACTACAGTTAGGAAACCAACTTTCTGTCCAGATGGCTGCATGGAATGTAGAGCATAGGAGATAGAGCCTAAGGGGCTTCCAAAAACAGTAGTCCAAAAGGAGGCTCCTGCAAAGAGTCACACCCTCATGAAAGCAAGAATGAGAAATAAACCTATAGGTAAGATGGGGACAGCAAGAAAACTAGCTTGTTATGACCTTAGTGTGGGGTAGAGGGAAAAACGAATTGTCCCTTGAGAATTCAAAACCATAAGCCAGTTCCCATATCTGGATTTGCAGTCCAGATCCACATTACCTCTACAGTCAAAATAACCTCAATCAGATAATTTAATTAAAAGTGACTCTGGGGGCTTCCCTGGTGGCGCAGTGGTTGAGAATCCGCCTGCCGATGCAGGGGACACGGGTTCGTGCCCCGGCCCGGGAAGATCCCACGTGCTGCGGAGAGGCTGGGCCCGTGAGTCATGGCTGCTGAGCCTGCGCATCCGGAGCCTGTGCTCCGCAACGGGAGAGGCCACAGCAGTGAGAGGCCCGCGTATCGCAAAAAAAAAAAAAAAAAGTGACTCTGGAGCATCCTCACTCAACCACCAGAAGCAAACGTAGGTTTCCTCTCTTAACAACCCATCTTCAACCCAGGCCCCAAAGAATTCCAACACACAGAAACCAGTAACAAAAACAGAAAAACTCCGTATGTTTGAAAATTTTTAGTTTTTCTAAAAACTATAAAAATCCACACTATACATCAATAAGGGTCAACCTCAAACAACTGAAATAATTTAAGTCATAGAAAACTAAAGAACGACTCATTCACTTAAATTAAGGAAAACACATTCATTGGTGATAAAATTATAATGAGAAACAAGGGAATGGTTAACAGAAAATTCATTCTAGTAGTTATCTCTGGGTGGTGAGGGAACTGGGGGAGTAAGGTGGAGGGAAGATACACAAGGGTCTCTACAGCACCATTAAGGTTTCATTTCTTGAGCTGGGGCTAGAGGCCTGGGTGATCACTGAAAAAAAAATTTTAAGCACATATATGCCTTTCATGTTTTTAGATGGTAATTACAATAAAATTATTGAAAAAGAAATGTAAGAAGAGAAAAAAGATATGTGGGGAGGGAAAAAAATTAGGTATAACTGTCGAAGTGGAGCTAAAAAGTGACGAGGGTGAACAAGTTGCCACCCAAATCCAAGCTTCTTCTCTACATTATCCAATGCCTTTCCTTGTCTCCTCCATCAATCAATCAAGGCAAAATCTATTCTGTTCTGTGATACTATTAGGAAAGGAACATTCCCTCTCATGTAAGATTACCCTTACATCAATCCCTCCAAGGATTCACTCTGTGGTCTTATCTCCTTTTCCTGATACAGGTTATGTTCACTAAAATGTCTACATTAAATCAAGTTTGTAAGCACTTGTACTTATCTTTCCACCCAGCAAGGGGTAAGATGGTATCAAGAAACAGAGACGAGACACTCTGTTTTACCTGCATGTCACTTTTGGCAGCTTTCACAGCATCAAAGAGATCACTGGCTGGTGGCTCTGACTCTTTCTGACCATGAGCACGTACCATTTGGGACCCCTTCTTTGGACGTTTTGCCACCTAGTAAGCATAAAGAGATCACGAATATCTTTAAAAAGTGAAAGTGACATTAACGCTCGGTCTCATCACACAGGTAGGCTTAAGCTGCCAATTCCACAGCAGAGTTTGAGTTACTGACTCAGATTAGAAATAACTGATTTTTATATTGTAAACGTTATTATTTCTAGCCTCTTGTCCTTTTAAAAGTCCCTAAGCCCCATTCCTGTTCCTCTATACCCTAATACCCTCTTCTCTTATTCTTTGCTCTTCAAAATCTGCCTTCTTCCTACTTCTGTCCCTTAACACTTTTTAAGCCTTGTCTTTTCATCAAGCGTATCAGCTGACCTCTTCTAGGTTTTCTTTTGCTGCTTCCCAGACCAGGTTCAAAAACAGAACAAAACTGACTCACTGGGGATGTTTTCAGTGGTCGTTTTGCTGCTCTCTTCTTTACATTTCGTCTCAAGTTGTCTTCGAAGTCACTGCCTTCACCAGCTGACAAAGATTCACTATCCCTGTGAGGGAGTGTGGTTCTGCTTAGATACAACACCCTAGTCCCTATATATAAAAGGGTAAATGAATTATAGTTTCTTTTTGTCTCTAACTTTACACCCCTCTCCATGAGAAAAATACTTTCAGATTTTAAGAAGAGATGAGCTTACTGTTGCCAGGAAGTAGGGACAATGTCTTAAGGGAAAACTTTCACTTGAATAAAGCATTGGAGATGAAGAACTGAGGTAGGTAAAGGACAACCCTTTCTTAATATCCTCTCTGAATAAGAGAATCAAAAGATATTCACATTAAAAAAAAGATATTCACATAAGCAGTGAGGGGATCACTGCTGAGTAGAGAAAAATGGTTCAGTAAGTCATGTATTACTAATACACAAACCAGAGATTAATACGTGCTTAGCGTTAAATTTTACCTCTTGAAAACAAATTCACGTCTTGTCGATTAGGGTTAAGTTTACAAAATAGATATAACCTGGTGCCAAACAGCTGCACTGACAGAAATGATTCAGAAGAAACCAATTAAAATTGCCATGGGATACTCTTATAACTGAAGTATAACCTTTAAAAATTGTGAATCATTATGTGGTACACCTGAAACTTATAAAATATTGTATATCAACTATACTGCAATAAAAAAATTACCAGGGGATAAATCAGACCTTGATTAATTTTTTCCTGGAAAGATTTTTTTAAAACCCAAGACATACTCGTACAATCTTCCAGAATAAGCTCATAAATGCCAACAGCTAAGGACCTGTTTATAAAACCCCAAACAAAAGAACTACAGGACACCACCTAAAAAGTATACACTAGTTTTCAGGCACCAAATAAAGAACTCTTTTCCCTTTCCCCCATCTGTGGGCCCCCACCGGAGGCTGTCCATGAACATACAAAAGTGTTCAAGAAAGGTTCAGACAAGTTGGATGATGGATTCAGAACAGGATGGATTATTCTTGACGCCTCCAACACGTAGGGCAGCCGAAACCCAGCCTGTTCTGAACCAGTATAGCATCTCCTAGCTTTTCATAGTCACACACGTGTTGCCACTTTACCCGTCTGTTAAATGAAAACGGGAAAAGCTGCGGACAACGCAACCAACCCCACTCACCCCTCCGATGTCTGGTCCGAGTCCCTGTCATCGCAGGGCACAGCGACAGACGAACTAGAAGACGCAGACATGCTCCTCGGCCCAGTCCCCACAGCTCTGCGCAGCGGGGAGGACCCGCTGCTCGGGGAGGAGGAGCTATGGGACTGGGAGGACGACGACCGCAGGGTGGCCATGGTGGTCCAACTGCGGGAGAGAGAGAGAAGGGGGAAGGCTTCCTGTCCCACCACGTCTCCATCCGCAGCCCCGACGACCCCCCTTGTTTCCAAGGGAACTGCTTTGGAACTCGGGGAGTGGGGGACCCACAAAAAAATAAGACGGAGAACACACTGTAGATCAACTACAGGTCAAATTAAAAAAGAAGAACAGCACAGCTTCTATGGTTTCTCCTGGGATAAACCATAATAGAAAAGAATATTTTAAAAGACGTATGTGTGTATATAACTGAGTCACTCTGCTGTACAGCAGAGACTAGCACAACACTGTAAGTCTTCTATTACTTCAACTGAAAAAAAAAAAAAAAGAAGAAAGACGGTGGGCTTCCCTGGTGGCGCAGTGGTTGAGAGTCCGCCTGCCGATGCAGGGGACGCCGGTTCGTGCCCCGGTCCCGGGAAGATCCCACATGCCGCGGAGCGGCTGAGCCCGTGAGCCATGGCTGCTGAGCCTGCGCGTCCGGAGCCTGTGCTCCACAACGGGAGAGGCCACAACAGTGAGAGGTCCGCGTACCACAAAAAAAAAAAGAGTCCCGACCTGAGGCATCAGGGCGTTAAAGACACCATGGCCCCAACGCCGACCTCTGGTTTGGGGTCACTCCCCAAGCACCGAGGAAGGTACACACCAGGGCAGCTTAAAACACACCCCTCTCCCCAGGATTCGGAGTTAACTGCCAGTGAAAGAAAACCAGCTCACAGGGTGCAAACGAGAAACAAGAACCGCCCCCCCAAACCCCCGCCCCCCACAGAAGCACCTAGACTTCCATTTCTAAAAGGCTAGAACGGGACTCCTCAAGGACCCGGCTGCGACGCGCTTAACGATTTGGGGCTACAGGCGCCATCAGAACCAAGCCGGAAACGCTGAAGGAATCACGGAAAGCTCGCATTCTCCATTTTTCCAGAAGAGGGGATCTCTACTCAACGCTGGGCTACGCTATTTGGGCGGAGGAGCCGTCTAACCACTCAGGAGAGCGACTATCAGCCTTTGGGTCTGGGATTCCTGGCCACTGTGGAGGGGGGTATGGAAAAGGGAGAGTCCTCTCTCAGGGCCAGAGTGTGGGGGAAGGCGACCGCCTGGGTCAAAGGGGAGCCTCACTGTCTGAACGCGGAACAGCGACTTCTGGCCGAGCAGCGTTGAGGAAAAGTCACCACCGCGGGTCCCTTGGGTCTCTGTGGTCACCCTCCCCCACCAGCCCCACAGTCCGGCACGGGCGCCCGCCGCTTCCCTTCTGGGTGGCAGAAGACTCCAGAAAAACGCGGGAAGGCGCGGGGTGTGCGGTGCGCAGGCGCGAGCCCAACGGCTCGTCTCAGGGCGGGCAAATTGTCGCGAGGCTTGGGCGTGTGCGAGCTCGTGCTCACCACGTTCCAGTCACGGCGCTCCGGCAGCCTCGTGCGGCCACGAGCTCTCCAGCGTGTCGCCGTGTCACGTGGGCTCCGGCGCGCTGGCCACCTGCTTTAACTCGGCTCCTCCCGGCCCCGCCCCAGCCCCGCTCCTCTGCCCCCAAGTTCCCCCTCCATTGGCCGGGTTTCACACTGCACTAGTAAGAGCTCCTTTAATCTGGCTTCTCAACTGCCACACGCTGGGTTCCACCCGGGCCCCGCCTTGCGAACCAAATAGCCACGCCTCCGAGGAAGGCCACGCCCTTCCCCCAGCCTCCTTAGTCCTGCCGAGTCCCGCCCCACTGCCGAGCTTCCCCAGTACATTGGCTTAATTTCTCCCTTGACCCCGCCCCTGAGTCCGGCTCCTTACCATCATTGGCCGGGCCCCGCCCCGGGCCCCGCCTCCTGTCCGGCTCCCGCTCCCATTGTCTCGGCAGATGCCGCCTAGTCCAGCGGTCGTGCTCCGTGTTCAGTTTTCGGAGGTCGCGCTCTTTCTCTGGCCGGCGGGGCGATCCCGCGGCAGAGAACCGGCTTCCTGAGTTCGGGCGGCTCTTCTTTCCTTCTTAGGACCCACTTTGCCGTCCCAAGGTGGCAGCAGCTATGTACGCGCTGCGATCTCTTCTGCTTCTGCTGTTGCCTCTGTGTCCCGGTCCTGGTCCTGGACCCGGTACCGAGGCAAAGGTCACCCGGAGTTGCACTGAGACCCGGCAGATCCTGGGGGCCCGGGGATATAGCTTAAGCCTACTCCCTCCCGCCCTGATTTCAGGTGAGGAGAAAAAGGAAGACTAGAGAATTGGGGGCGAGGGAGGGGGCGGGGGCCGGTCCCCCCATCTCACAATAATTCTCTTCCCTTTCAGAGTGGCCGTTATAATAATCTTTTCGTCTCATAGTAATAATGTCTCTTCTCCTCCGGAACTTCTTTACCAGGATCACAATAACACTCCTGTTCAGATAATAGCTCTCTACTCCACCCCAACCCCAGGAATCCCTTTCTAGTAATTAGCACCCGCCTCTGTGTTTCTTTATTCACAGCCCAATTTGTTCCCCTCGCTATTTCCATGAGCCCCTTCTATGACAATACTTTCTTTCTTACCAGGTAATCCCACCCCTCCAAATCCCATTCTTCCCATTGAAGCCATCCTGTAAGTCCTTAGAGGCCTGGGGTGTGCGATGTTAGGCAGGCTACCTAGGACCCTCTGATCACTAAATCGGCCCATCTTTATTTGATCCTATGGCTAGTGCCAGTGGACTTGGGATGGGTGAGGGGACAATAAGAAGGGGGTAGAGCCAGGTGGGAATGAGGTGGCAGACAATAGAAACCAGACAGTTCGAAGAGAAAGGATGGCCCCCAGAGATCAGCAGGAGAAGGAAGGAGTTTCACGACACAACTTCCCACCATTCCTTCGTGTCTCCTCTGTCCAGGTGAGCACCTCCGGATCTGTCCCCAGGAGTACACTTGCTGTTCCAGTGAGATAGAGCAGAAGCTGACCTGGGAGACTGAGGCCACCTTCCGAGGCCTGGTGGAAGAGAGCGGTTCCTTCTTGGTTCACACACTGGCTGCCCGGCACAGAAGATTTGATGGTGAGGACCTGGCGTCCCCAAACCTGGCCTCGCACCTCCTCTCTGTGCTCATGACCCGAGCAAGCATCCCGTCCCTGCTCCTGACTCTATCCCTAAGGCACTCCGGCCCTGGCTTAGCCCCCGCATCCCCACCCTAGGCTCTCTCAAGGTCCTGCCCTCCACCCCCAGCCCCAATTTGCCCAGACCTCTAAGAGTTGCTTAATTTCTGACTCACTTTTCTTTTCTCTCCCCATGCCCATCTCTTCCTGCCTCTGCCCTTTCACTTTTCCATCCTTCTCTGGCCTTACCCCACCTCACACCCCTTTCTCTGCACTTGCCACAGAGGTTTTTCGGGAGATGCTCTCATCAGCCGAGCACTCCCTGTCCCTGCTCTTCCACCGCTCCTTCGGCCGCCTGTATGCCCAGCACACCCCCTTGTTCAGTGGCCTGTTCTCTCGGCTACGGGACTACTATGAGAGGTCCGGTGAGGGGTTAGATGATGCCTTGGTGGATTTCTGGGCTCAGCTCCTGGAGAAAATGTTCCCCCTGCTGCACCCACAGTACATCTTCTCCCCTGACTACCTGTTCTGCCTCACGCGCCTGGCCTCTTCTGCTGATGACTCTCTGAAGCCTTTTGGGGACTCACCCCGCCGCCTCCGCCTGCAGGTGAGAGGCCCCAAGGCCTGAGTTTCAGCCACCTTTGACCTAGTGACCTCTGAAGTATGTACTACTCACCTCCAGCCCAATGGCCCCCTTTCCATGCCCCAGTCACCCCTGACCTGGTGATCCCTCTATCCTGCATGGCAGCCATGTCTGACCTGGTGACCCGTATCTTGAGCCTCAGTCACCTCTGCCTGACCCAGTGCTCCTTGGTCTCCTTTAATTGGATGGCCCCCCTTTCTGTGTCCTAGTTTACACAAGTTGCTGACCCACTCACCTGCTCTTGCCTCCCCCCACCCCACCTTTCTGCCAACTCCTCCCTAATCCCAATACCTTGGCTTCCTCTGGTTCAACTAACTGTGAATTAGACACTTAATATTTAAGAAGGATTTTCATTTATAGTCTCTCATTTAATTATCATCATAACTCTAGGAGGTAGATATTAGCATTCCTATTTTACAGATGAGGAAACTGAACTTCCCAGAGGTTAAGGTCTCACAACCAATATGTGGTAGAGCTATGTTTCACACCCAGGTCTCCTGGCTTCGGGTTCAGTGTTTGTTCTGATACAAGCCCCTCTATCTCCAAGCCCTGTAAAATGTAATCCCTCCACCTCTTCCCAAGCCCAGTTCCCCTGGGTCCTTCTAGACTGTGATTCCTTTGATCCTCTTGAACCTGCCTCCCGGGACCACCGGACACTCTTAACCACCCCAAGATAACCCTACAAACCTCACCCCCCTGCTCATCCCCTTGGTGCAGTCTCTTGGTCCCAGTGTTGACTGACCCTCAACAGTCCTGTGGTTTTTCTCACCTTCTTTCCCCTCCCCCAGATAACCCGGGCCCTGGTGGCTGCCCGGGCCTTTATCCAGGGCCTGGAGACCGGAAGAGATGCGGTCAGCGAAACGCTTAAGGTTAGAGGGAGCCTGAGTATGGGCAGGGCCCAGGGAGGGAGACAAGAAGCAGGAGAGGTCCCATGAAGAAGAGTCCGGTGCCAGCTGGCAGGAGAGGCCTGGGGCCTTCCCATATCAGCCTCGAAGCCCTGGCATCCCAGGGTAAATCAGGAAGGCTGGAGTCTCCCTTGTGTCATGACCCATGATCTCCTCCCACCTCTGACCCTCTGATGACTCTTACCCCCTGCCAGCCTCTACGGGCCTGCTCATCTCCATAGTATCTCTGAGATTGGAGTACTGGCCCTCCTGGTTTTCTCCAGGACCACTCAGTGGCTCCCTCTTCCCTGCTACTGGAGGCCAGGTTCCTGGCCTGGCCTTCAAGGCCCTCTCTCTACTGCTCATTCTCTCCCTGACCTCCCAGCCTCACTTCCTGCATCCTCATCCTCCTCTGTCCCCAACCATGATGGGCTCACTCTTGTCCTGGAACCTTTTCTCAGATCCCTCACTGCCCCATCTCTCCCAAGAAGCAGCATCTGCAACCTGGCCCCGCGGAGCCTCTCTCCTCTGATCTGTGGCAGTCCTGGGGTCACTCCTGCTGCCACACGGGGTCATCAGTCCTAGATGTTCACATCCAGCTCTACACTGAGAGCCTGGGAAAGGGGGGGTGGGGTATTTGACTTCTCTCTGTGCCCAGCACCAGGCTTGGCTGAGGGCAGCCAACCGTGGATGACACAGGCCTGCTCTCTGCTCCCAGATGCCGCTGTCCGAAGGCTGCAAGCGGGCTGTGATGCGTCTGACAGGCTGCCCCCTTTGTCGGGGGGTCCCCTCGCTGCCACCCTGCCGGGGCTTCTGCCTCAACGTGGCCCACGGCTGTATCAGCAGCCAGGGACTGGATCCTGACTGGGGGGCCTATCTGGGTGAGGGGATTCAGGAAAGCCTGGGAGGGCTGTCTGTGTGGGGGTGGGCAGGGTGGACCAGGGAGGGAGTGTTAAGCGGTACTGAGGGGAGAGGATGAGGAGCGGCTCTTCTCATGTCAGTTTCCCCCATCTAAGACCTGCTGCTTCCCTCCAAGGCCGGGGTCAGGATTTGCGGGAACATCCTACTTCAGTGAGTATCTCCCTGGATGTCCCCTCATTTCACCCTTTCTCTTTCTTTCCCTCTTTCAAGATGGTCTCCTGTTCCTGGCCGAGAAGATCCAGGGCCCCTTTTCCTTTGAGCTAGCAGCACAGTCCATCGGGGTGAAGATCGCGGAGGGTTTGATGCATCTGCAGGAAAACAGCGTGGGGCTGTCAGCCCAGGTACAGGGGCCACGAGAAGAGTGGGAGTTGGCGGGAGGACCGGAGAGAGAAGGGTGGAGGGGGAGGCCCCGGGCTGGGGGTACAGTGCGGGGTGTCAGTGAGACACTGTAGGGCCTCTGGATAAACTGGGGTGTCGGGGGCGATTGGAGTATTGGAGTGTAGTTTTTACCGCGGGACGACTGTCTGTGGGGTCTCTTCCCGGTGCCGCAGGTGTTCCAGGAATGCGGGAGCCCCCAACCGGCGCCGGCCCGCGCCCGCCGTGCCCCAGCCCCCCGGGAGGAGGTGGGCCGGCTCTGGTCGGCGGCGGCGGCGGCGGAGGAGGAGCGGCCCACGACGGCTGCGGGCGCCAGCCTGCCCCGGCTGGTGAGTGGCGGGCGGCAGGCGGGGGCGCAGGCGCGGCGGTGGGCGGGGGGCGCGCGCACCATCTCCTCCCGGGCTCTCTTTGCGTCCAGGTGTGGGAGCTCCGCGAGCGGCTGGGCCGGGTGAGGGGCTTCTGGGCCGGGCTGCCCCTGACAGTGTGCGGGGACCCCCGCGTGGCTGCGGACCTCTCCCAGGAGGCGGCGCCCTGCTGGACCGGAGCTGGGCGGGGCCGGTGAGAGCCGGGCGGCGGCGGCGGCGGCGGCGGCGGGCGGGCGGGAGGGCGAGGCGGACTCCGGGGGCGGGGCGGGAGCCTCCGGGGCTGCTCTGCTCGCAGGTACTTGTCGCCCGTGGTCGGGGGTCCCCAGGCCGGGCAGATCGACAACCCAGAGCTGGATGCGGAAGCCTCGAGCCCCGACCTCCAGACGCGGAGGCGGCGGCTGCAGCTCCGGGCGGCCACGACCAGGATGAAGGCGGCCGCCCTGGGACGCGACCTGGAGCTGGAGGACTGGGGTGAGGCCCCGGGCCGCCGCGAGGGCCTCGCTCCGCCCGGCTTTCCGCGATTGGACCCGGGCCAACCCGCAGCCCCGCCCCCTGCTTTCTGTAGTCCCTCCCCTGGCGTCTCTCCGTTACCATCCATTCATTGACTCACACATTTTACACGCACGTATTGAGCGCTTTACTCAAAGGTAGGGGGTAGAGCACCAAAGACAGGGTCTCTATCCTTGAGTTCATGGTTCCCTGGGGGAGACACCAAAACACTCTTACAGAACGGTGGGAAGCTCCTAAGAGTGGGCAATCTCGGGAGGTGGGGAAGTGGGGTGCGGGCGCCATGGGGCTGGCTCCCCAAAGTAGAATTTGCCAGGGAAACAAGGCACTGACGTCCACTTTTTTCCTCTCTCCCACTGTCTCTGTCTCTCTTTGTCTCTCCCCCCCCTTCCCGTCCGCTCGCTGCTTCTGTGTACGTCTGTTTTCTCTCTTTTCCTGTTTATCCTCTCTCTCCATCTGTCTCTCCTTTTTGTCTGCCTCGTTGTCTCTTCCTGTCTCTCGTTGCCTTCTCTCATTCTCATGTGTCTGATCTCTCTGCTCACCTTCCTGTCATTCGCTTTCTCCCTCTTCTCACCCTGCCTGCTCCTCCACCCCTCCACCTATCACTGTTTTTATCTCGAGTTCTCTCCCTTGCTGCCTGTGGCTCCTTCTCTCTCTCTGTCTCCCGCTACCTCTCTTTCCCATCCCTGTCTGTTTCCGATCCTCCTCCTCCCTGCAGAGGACGCTAGCGGCTCTGGAGAGGGACAGCACTATGCAGATGACTGGATGGCTGGGGCAGCAGCTGTGGTCCCCCCGGCCCGGCCTCCTCGCCCTCCTCGAAGGGATGGTGCTGGGGGCAAAGGAGGAGGTGTCATTATCCGCCACAGCCAAGACAGGAGCAGGACTGGCGGGACGTCTGTCAGTTTTCACACCCAACCCCTCCTCATTCTCTTCCTCTCAGCCCTGGCCCTGCTCGGACCTCGATAACTGGGGAGGGGTGCCCTGGCATCAGAAGGGTTCGTGGCCCATCCCCTCCTCCCCCGTCTGCTGGGTCTGGGGAGGAGTCGGAGGGGGCTGCAGAGAGGGTAGAGAAGGGACTTTTTGGGTGAATGGCTGGGGCCCCAAATCCAGATTTCCATTGGTGGGTTGGGTTGGGGGTGGGTGTTCACTATATTTATTTTTTCATTTGGTATCTGGGGAGGAGGGGCTGGGGGTATTTATTTAGGAAGGAGGTGTGGTCTCTCTAACCCAGCCTCTATGGTTGGGCTGGTGGTGAGCCCCAACAGAGAAAAAGGGAGGAGTTTTAGAGTTGCGGGGGGAGGGGTTTGAAGGAAGTTGAAGGTGGGGATGGGTGGGGGCACCCGGTCTCAGAAACAGACAAAGCTGGTGTTTGCGGGGTGCAGGGCAGGGGACTAGGATGTCAGGATCTATGGGTCTGGGTTCTATCGAGTTTTTTCAGTATCACTTTCTTAAACTAGAAAAAAGAAAGAAGAAAAAAAAAGCATATCTCATGGCCTCTGCCATCCGCCACATCCTTCACAAGCTTCCCCATTTCATGTTTCAGTGTTCGACTCGATGTTTATTCTATAAATAAATGGCTAATTTATTGGACCCTATGTGTGACTTTCTGTACCTTTAGCCCAGAGCCTCTGTGACCAGCAGTTCATTTCTGCCTGCTTATCTTGGAACCTGTCCCCTGGGATTGAGTTTGGGCAAGCTGTCCACCCTCTGGGTCTGAGCACCTTCATCTGCAAAATGGGGAGAGTTGCGGGGAGGGGACTGCAAAACTCTTTTGGACCCAAGCCACCGTTAATATTACCACACCACTGACCCTGCCGTCAGAGTCGGGGCCCCAGTTCTCTGTGTCAGCCTCTGGCTACCTTGTCATGTCCTTGACAATGTCTGCTTTCAACTCTTGTCTGTCATTCTCCTTTCTTCTTTCCTTCTTTCCTTTGGTCGCCTGAATGAGTCTTTTGTTCTGCAGAAAGCTGAAAGAAAAAGTATAATTGATTCCTAAGTGCCAAAGGAGGGTAGGACTGGTGTCTTCCAATGGCAGGCTGGGTGCCCTGAAGGAGAGGAAAAGGTGCAGGGAGGGAGAGACCCAGAGACGCGATCAAAGCCGAATCAGCTGCAGAGACTGGCGGGACAAAGGGAGGGAGGGGGAGGAGCCTGGGCGCTGAGAAAGTTTAGGGGGAAAGTTGAGCCGAGCGAGAAACCGGGCGGTGGCTGGAGCAGGCGGGAGGGCCAGACCCCGATTTCCCTGCTGCTCCTCAGGTGGCCTGGTGAGTGGGCATGTGAAGCCGAGGCCTCGGCCAGTGGAGGGACTCTACAGTTTATGGGAGGAGACTTGGGGGGGGTTTCATAGAACCCCAGAGGGAGCCGACCCAGGGCTGGCAACAGACTGAGCAGTCACCAAAGCTGGAGGGAACTGCGGGCTGGAATTGGGGGTAATGGGAGGAGACAGGGATGGATGGAAGGAATAGAAGAAATCTGGACACAGGAAGGAGTCCAGTGAGGGGCTGGATCCTGGAGGCTGGGTTGGGGGAGGAAATTGGGGGACGATGCCAGAGGGGGCGGGTCTCTAGGTGGCCAGTGTGGGTTCTCTGCCTGGGGTCGCTCCGGGCTCGTCCTGGAAGGGGTCCGTCGGGGCTTGGTGGAGGGGCTGCGGGTTGGAATTGAAGGGGCAGGTCTGGACTCTCAGTAGATTGGGAAGCTGGGGCCTGGGAAGGAATTCTGAAGCTCGGCGTTCGGGTTTTGTCTCTTTGTGTCGCAGTCTCTCTCCAGCCCCACCCTCTCAATCCCCTCTGGGTGCACTGCTGGGGTTGGAAAGTGGGAATGGGGGTGTGTGGGATCTGGGCTTCCTAAACAACCCTATACCCCCCAGGCCCTCTCACACACTGGGCTCTGCCTGGCGCCGAGAGGGAAAGCATACCTGAGCTTAGATGAGCTGGTCGGCTCTTATTCTTTACAAAGTTGCTCCTGTGGTTTCACCTCCCTGGGTTCCTAAGCTGGTGCCCTGTCTGGCCCTCATTCGCTCCTTATGGCTTCTCCTCTCAGCCTCAGAATGGGGCTCTTCAGCCCGACTTGTCACAGACAGAGGGGTAGAGGAGGTGGTCAGGGGCCTGGTGATGTCTGTTTCACTGGTATGAGCGGACCGGTCTGATCTTTCTCCCCTTGACTTCCAAATCCCTGGGGCTCAGTGAGGAGCTGTCAGTGAGGGTTGGAAGGAGCTGCAGGTTGACAGCAGAGAAGCAGTCGTGGGGCACCTAGAAGATCTGGGTGTAGAGAGGGCTCCCCCCTCCGCTGCCCCCCTGCCCGGAATGAGGTCTCAGCTGCAGCAGCAGCAGGAGAGAAGGCTCTACCGCCTCCTTAGACTCTCCTCCTTCCCCCTCATTTCCCTTCTAGACGCTGACAGAGGCAAAAATCTGCTAACTCAGGGGGCAGACTCAACCGGGGCTGCGAGCAGACCTGGGGAATGAACCCCCAAACTCGAACTGGCGCCTTCCGCGGCTGCACGGCTGTCTCAAGCTGTCTCTGCCTCTGTGCCTTGCCCTTGCCCTGCCCCGCTCTAGCGTCCCCCTTCCCTGTGCCACATGGGCCCTCTGTCTCCTACCAGGACCATGCGCCTCTGGGGGCCTCGGAGCCTGGGGGTGGCTCTGGGAGTCTTCATGACCATCGGATTTGCCCTCCAGCTCTGGGGGGGTCCCTTCCAGAGGAGGTGAGTTCCCATCTTGTCCCAACGCCCCACAGATGCCCCCCCCCACTTGCTCCTCCCCGTCTCACCTGGGGCTGTGACTCTTGGGGACTCAGAGGACGCTCCACGCCCTCGTCCTTTCTCCTCAAGACACTCATCCACCTGCTGGTGAGGGACACGACACTTCCCCTCCCGTCTCTCCCCAGGCTACCTGGGCTGCAGCTCCGACACTCCTGGGCCTCAACCCCGGGACCAGCTGTTCCATCCTGCCTGCCACGGCAGCGACTCGTGTTCCTGAAGACGCATAAATCCGGAAGCAGCTCTGTGCTCAGTCTACTTCACCGCTACGGGGACCGACACGGGCTGCGCTTCGCCCTCCCCGCCCGCTATCAGTTCGGCTACCCAAAGCTTTTCCAGGCCTCTCGGGTCAAAGGCTACCGCCCTCAGGGTGGAGGCACCCAGTCCCCCTTCCACATCCTCTGTCATCACATGAGGTTCAACCTGAAAGAGGTGAGGAGTGTCGAGGGGGTGGACAGGACTGGCGAGAGATGGGCTCATGCCTGTAGCCAAGACCACCAGGGGAGGAGACCCCAGGCCTGGAGGCTCCCCAGGCATCCCCTCACCCAAGAGTTGGGCATGGGGGCCACAAAGGTGAGTCCTGCTGCCCCCTCCTCAGCTGTCCCTCCCTCAGAATTTTCTGGCAGCCTAAGTTCTGCCCTCTCCATCTAGAGTTTACTGCAGTCTCTCTCCTTGACCAATTTATCCTGCTGGCATCAGTGTCCCGCCAACTCTGACCCCACCCCGCCAACCCTCCCTCCAGGTACCTGGCCCTTCCTGGCCCCTTCCACTGGCACTACCAGGGCCCTGTGCAGTCACTGCCTTCTGACCCAGCTGCATCTCACTCCCCTCACCACGTCTGCCAGATTTTGAGGATCAGCTACATGCCAAGCCCCAGTCCCAGCCCCACCCCCAACCCCCGGAGCCTCAGTTCTAAAGGGGGAGATGAGTGCACGCACTCACAGGTCATCCGTACACACACACACACACACACACACACACACGAACCTCTTGGAGGAAGAAAATCAATGGGCAAATGAACACATACAAGGAAAGAGCGAACTTTCACTGAATACTTCTTGGGTGCTGGATAGTCATCTTACCATCATCCTGCCAGGAAGGCATTATAAGTGTCTCCACTACACAGATGAGGAGGTTGACTCTCAGAGAGGCTAAGTGACAGGCCTCTGTTAACGGAAAGCCACAGAGCTAGCATTTGAACCCAGGCCCAACTGCTCCAAAGTCAAAGTGCCTTCTGTGGGCTGTGTGCGTGTGTATGTGTGTTTGTATTTGGAACTGTGGGGAGAATATTCATCAAAAGAGGTGGGGCTTTCTGGAGAGGTGGGTTTTATAGGAAAGGGTGGACATGACTTTGTAGTAAGGAAAATATCAGGTGTTCAGCAAAACATCTTAAAGACATGGTGGCAGTGGTGTGTGTGCGTGTGTAGGTGGTAGAACTTCAGTGGTGGCTGCAAAGGCAGTCCTGTTGGAGCTGGAGCAGGAGAAAGCAGCTGAGCAGCATGAATGTGATCTAATGGGAAGCAAGGGGGGACTGCTGGGAGTGAGGCGAGGACAGCGGTCACTGAGGCAGGTTCCTCTGGAGTTTAGGATGATTGTCACCACCCCTCACTACCTCCCATGTTCCCCACACTTCCACATCCTTCAAGGTAAGTGTTAACCCAGATTTACTGATGGAGGCTCTGAGAAGGCTCTGAGAAGTTCGATAACCTGCCCGAAGTTACAGGGTTGGTAAATGGCTGAATTGGGATTTTATTCCAGGTCCATCTGATGCCACAGACCGTTCTCTGCACTGTTTCCCTATGCCTTCAAAGAGACATACAGCTCACAGGCTCGTCCTGCAGGCATGCCCACATCGGCAGAGCAGACTGGGAGACTTGTCAGGGAGTCAGGTTCAATGACAGAGGTCACGTTCAGAGGCAGAAACCCTTCAAGGAGCCCCAGAGCTGGGTTCTGGCATGGATCTGCCTGAAGGACCACGCTAGGGTGTGGCTCAGCCCAATTGCCACCTTCCTTCTTGCCCAGAAGTGGGATCACACATCCTAGGCCTCAGAGCAGCACCCTACCGAGTGGCCACGGCTCCCCAGTGCCCATTCCAGGGGTGTCTCTTGCTCTGCAAGATGCCAAGGAGCCCCAGGAGTGCCCTGTCCTTCGGCCATCCTGGGCTTGGCCTGCCCCTGACACCTATACCTGAGACAGCATTGCGACTGCTCTGTCTCCTCCCTATTTGCTGCCAGTGATCCTCCTGAGAAGGCCTGAGGCCAGCTCCTTTCTTGGAGTTGTGACAGAGTCCCAGAGTAGGCACTTAGGTTTCTGTTGGAGAAGTGAACACAAAGCTTGATTCCTAGAAGTGTTACTGACCAAGGCAGACAGAAAGGCCCAAGGAAGTTAATGTTCTCCAGGAGCTTCCCATGTTCCAGGTTCCTTCCTATCCTTATCTCATGTAACCTCCATAATCACTTGGGAAGGAAGGTATGATGGATCCCCGTTTTGCAGATAAGCAAATTGAGTCTCAGAGATGTTAAGTGCCTTACCCAAGATCTATGTAGCTGGTGGAGGAAGCTGGGGGTTCCCAGCAGAGCTGTCAGAAGGAGGTTGGAGGAGGCTGGGGGATCAGTGGGCACTGGGTTTGCTCTTAGTTTCTTCCTGGCTTAGTTCTCTCTCCCTATGTCTGCTTCCTCTTCTCTGCAGGTACTTCAGGTTATGCCTTCTGACAGCTTCTTCTTTTCCATTGTCCGAGACCCAGCGGCTCTGGCCCGCTCTGCCTTCTCCTACTATAAATCCACATCATCGGCTTTCCGCAAATCACCGTCCTTGGCTGCCTTCCTGGACAATCCCCGAGCCTTCTACCAGCCTGGGGCCCGTGGGGACCACTATGCACGCAACTTGCTATGGTTTGACTTTGGCCTCCCCTTTCCCCCAGAGATGAGGACCAAGAGAGGGAATCCTCATCCCCCCAGAGATCCCAACCCGCCACAGCTGCCTTCTGGTGTTGGCCTGCGAGCCCACACCTTGGATCCCAATGCTCTCTTCCATCCCGTTCCCACTGCTGCTGATGGTCACAGCCAGACGTCCAGCGCTGCCTTTTTAGATTTGAGGTCTTCATCCTTCATCCAGTGGAATCTGGCCTGGCTGGACTCTGTCTTTGACCTGGTCTTGGTGGCCGAGTACTTTGACGAGTCATTGGTCCTGCTGGCAGATGCCCTGTGCTGGGGTCTAGATGATGTGGTGGGCTTCATGCACAACGCTCAGGCTGGAGGTGGGCAGGGCGGAAGTGCTGTCGGCGATGGTGGACTGACTGCTGAGGACAGGCAGCTGTCTGCAAGGGCCCGAGCCTGGAACAACCTGGACTGGGCTCTCTATGTTCACTTCAACCGCAGCCTGTGGGCCCGGATAAAGCAATACGGCCAGAGCCGGCTGGACAGTGCTGTGGCGGAGCTCCGGGCTCGCCGAGAGGCCCTGGCTAAACACTGTCTGGTGGGGGGTGAGGCTTTAGACCCCAAGTACATCACTGACCGGCGGTTCCGCCCTTTCCAGTTTGGATCAGGTAAGGTTTTGGGTTACGTGCTTCAGAGTGGCCTGAGCCTCCAAGACCAGGAGGAGTGTGAGCGCCTGGCTACCCCTGAGCTACAGTACAAGGACAAACTAGATGCCAAGCAGTTCCCCCCAACAGTCTCTGTGCCCCTCAAGACTTCAAGGCTACCCTCCCCCTAGGCATCAGACCACTAAGTCTTAGGCTGAAAAGCAGCTGAGCCACAGGGGCACAGTGATGAATGTGAGGCAGCCCCATGCCCTTTCTGCTTCCCCCAGAGACCATGTCTGCTCCCCAAAGGACCAGTGGAACTTAGCACGGATGTGGACCCCACGTCCTCCAACCTGCGCCGAGGAATCCTAGTCCTAGAAGCATCCTCCCCCCATCTTGCCCCTTTCCCTTCCCAGCACCTCGCGCCCCCCACCAGGTCCAAACAGCACTCTCAAAGCCCCCCTGGAGGAGCAAACCATGGAGTACGGCAGAGATTGTTTGGGACACAAGGGACAGGAATAACGCGTCCATCTCTCTATGAAATATTTGTTACTGGGCTATACTCATTTCACTATGAAATGTTTGTTGAATGAATAAATAATTTGAAACTTTGACCTGCTCTATATAGGGCGGAAGGGAAGGGGATGGAGCATCTTCCTGGGAGAAACGGGGTTGGAGGGGGTTCTCTTCATAGTTCTTCTCTAAGAAGGGGTCTGTCTGCAGTCTCACCTAAACCCTTCACGCAGCGGGCTAACCACAGGAACACGCCGCTCCTCTTGTCCAAAATCCGGTCGCCCACAAATTCCGGCGCCTCCGAGGCCACGCCCCTTCCCTTCCGCTTCCGGTGTCTCTCCAGTCATTCGGCCCAGCACCCCGGTTCCGGCCCCACGGGGTCTCGGTTCCGGGCTCGTTGCCCCGGTTCCCGGCCCCGGCTGGTCTGTCGGGCCGGTCCGGCCGCGCGCAGCACCGGTCGGGGCTCGGGGCTCCCCGGGCGCACCCCAGCGGCCCCCTCGCCCTCCGCCGGCCCCGGCCCACCTCGCTCCCCGGCCCGCGCCGCCTTCACCGCCCATGGAGTCCCAGTGCGACTACTCGATGTACTTCCCCGCCGTGCCGCTGCCGCCACGCGCGGAGCTGGCTGGGGACCCGGGCCGGTACCGGGCGCTGCCCCGGCGCAACCACCTCTACCTGGGGGAGACTGTCCGCTTCCTGCTGGTGCTGCGCTGCCGGGGCGGCGTGGGGTCCGGCGCCGGAGGCGGCCCGGGCTTGGGCTCCCGAGGGGCCTGGGCAGAACTGGCGACCGCCCTGGCCGCCCTGGCCTCGGTCAGCGCCGGAGGGGCGCCCGTGGGCGGTGGCTCCGGCGACCAGGATTCCGAACCCCCGGGGGGCGGGGACCCTGGTGGTGGGGGGTTGTTTCGAGGCTGCAGCCCCCTCCTCACCCACGGCCCGGGCCCTGCTACCTCAGGGGGAGCGACCACGGTGAGGAGCTCGGGGCGACACGGCACAGGGCGGAGGGGCGGTCTGCTGGGCTCCAAAGACCGGAGGGGAGAGGGACGCTGGAGGGAAGCGGGAGGCCGATGACGGGTGAGGAGAGGGGAGGGCGAGAACCACATACCGCAGATCTTAAAGGGAACGCTGGCGCTGCGGGCGGCCTTGACTCTTCTGACCTCTTCACCCTTTTCACAACCCAGCTGCCTGTGGAGGAACCAATTGTGTCCACAGATGAGGTCATCTTCCCACTCACCGTTTCACTGGATAGACTGCCCCCAGGGACACCTAAGGCCAAGGTAAGGCTGGCACGGGGTGGAGCTGTTGTCCTAATTCAGACGCCCTTTCTGAGGCTGGCCGTGTGTCTTTTCTCTCGACTGTGGTCCTGTGTCCCCTGTGCTCAGATTGTAGTGACCGTGTGGAAGCGGGAGGTTGAGGCACCAGAGGTCAGAGATCAAGGCTACCTGCGCTTGCTGCAAACCCGATCTCCTGGGGAGACCTTCCGGGGCGAGCAGAGCGCTTTCAAGGCCCAAGGTGGGGAGGAGAATGCAGAGAGGAAATGCTGGAGTCTGGAATTTGGGGGACAGTGGAGGGGTGATACTGGCAAGTGCCCCAGCTGGAGAGAAGAGCAAGATTAGAACTGTGGGTTGGAATGAGGCTCACCCAGCCCATCATCTCTTGCCTCCGCCCTCTCCTGCAGTGAGCACCCTGCTGACTCTGCTGCCCCCTCCAGTTCTGAAATGTCGCCAGTTCACTGTGGCTGGAAAACACTTGACCGTGCTCAAGGGTGAGCAGATTGGCGGCTCAGTTCTTGGGCAGCAGCAAGGGCACTGACTGGGTGTCAGTTACTCTGGTGGGGATAGATCCATTTTAGGGGGGAAAAGGTGGGGTCCAAGGGGTCCAGATACTCTGAGCTGAGCTGGTTACCTCCGACAGTGCTGAACAGCTCCTCCCAGGAGGAAATTTCCATCTGGGATATCCGCATTCTCCCAAACTTCAATGCCAGTTATCTGCCTGTCATGCCCGATGGCTCTGTGCTGCTGGTGGACAATGTCTGGTGAGGTCCTGGGGAGGGGCAGGGCCGCACAGTGGTGGGGATGGGGGCAGGGCCGAGAGCTCTGGTGTGGAAAGATCCAGCTCTGGTCCCTTTCTTCTGAACTAGTCACCAATCTGGGGAAGTCTCCATGGGCTCCTTCTGCCGGCTCCCTGGTACCTCTGGCTGCTTCCCCTGCTTGCTTAGTGCTCTGGAGGAACACAACTTCCTGTTCCAGCTCAGAGGGGGTGAGCAGCCCCCTCCAGGGGCCAAGGAGGTGAGTATAAGAGACTGGTGTGTTCAGGAGAAAGGGTGAGAAAATGCAGTGGGGGGAAGAGGCCAGGGGGTTGACTAAGGGGAGAGGGAACCTCTGATACATGTGATGTTTCCCTTTGTCCCTCTGGCAGGGCCTAGAAGTTCCCCTGATCGCTGTGGTTCAGTGGTCCACGCCGAAGCTGCCCTTTACCCAGAGCATCTATACCCACTACCGGTGAGTTTGTGGGACACCCCACCCTGGCCCCGCCTGGGTACCATCCTGTTCATCTTTGTTTCAAAACACACACATCCTGCTTCCCTCTCTCTCTCATTGCTTCTAGCCTGCCCAGCATCCGCCTGGACCGCCCGTGCTTTGTGATGACTGCTTCTTGTGAGTCCCCTGTTCGGACCTACGAGCGTTTCACTGTCACATATACGCTGCTCAACAATCTCCAAGACTTCCTTGCTGTGAGGCTCGTGTGGACCCCGGAGCACGCCCAGGCTGGTAGGTGGCTGCCAGGCCTAACCTTGTCCCGAAGGAAGGGAGGGGAAGGGAAGCAGTCACAGAGATGGGTGACTGTGGCCGGCTGCTTCGGCTCTGAACCGGGGTGGTCTCCATGGTGTCACAATGGAGAGTTTAGAGAGGCCACGGGGCAGAGTGATTTTAAGGGCCTTGACACTGGAGCTGGGCTCCCTGGTATGTTTGACTTGTACCTCTTCCACTTCTTAGCTGTGTGACCTTTGGTAGGTTACTTAATCTCTCTGAGCCTCAGATTTCTCATCTCTCAAACAGAGAAAATAATACCTCGTGGGGCTGTTAGAGCAACTTAGTGAGTTAATATTACGTGAAGTGGTTAGAATAGATCTCAATACACAGTAAGTATTAGCTACTGTTATTTATAAAATTCAGCAAACAATAGCATATACTCAGTTTACTCCACAGAATGGCTCTGAGGATCAAAACAAGACTGTGCTCGTGAACGCCCTCTGCAAACTGAGGAACACCATACAGATGTGTTTCCCAGCCCCCGTTTCTGTCCCCCCCAGGAAAGCAGCTGTGTGAGGAGGAGCGCCGGGCCATGCAGGCAGCCCTGGACTCCATCGTCTGCCATACACCCCTCAACAACCTCGGCTTTTCCCGGAAGGGCAGCGCGCTCACCTTCAGTGTGGCCTTCCAGGCTCTGAGGACGGGGCTCTTCGAGGTGGGCTGGTGGGGGCCAGGCTGTGTGCTGGGTGAGGCAGAGCGTCAGGTGGAAGGAGTCAGGGCCGCTGGCTTCTGTGGCTGAAGCATAATGGGTGGTGCTACAAAGCCGCGCGGAGGGAAGGTGGAATTTAGATCCGACTTCGGCCTGTCAAGTGGGGAAGATGACCTGAAAGGAGGTCCGGGGCCTGGAAGCCGAGCTGGGTGGCTGATCCATGTCTCCCTACCCCAGCTGAGCCAGCACATGAAACTGAAGCTGCAGTTCACCGCCAGCGTGTCCCACCCTCCGCCAGAGGCCCGGCCTCTCTCTCGCAAGAGCAGCCCCAGCAGCCCTGCCGTCCGGGACTTGGTCGAGAGGCACCAGGCGAGCCTGGGCCGCTCTCAGTCCTTCTCCCACCAACAGCCCTCCCGCAGCCACCTCATGAGGTACGGAACCGCGGGAGGGGTGCCAGTGGACTTGGTAGAGGCCGGAGTTGGAGAGGGAGCAGGGAGGGGCCCTGGGTCCAACCAGAGCTCATAGCCTCTGCCTTCCCCCAGGTCGGGCAGCGTGATGGAGCGCAGGGCCATCACGCCCCCCGTGGCCTCGCCTGTCAGCCGCCCCCTCTACCTGCCCCCGGACAAGGCTGTGCTCTCTCTGGACAAGATCGCCAAGCGCGAGTGCAAGGTCCTGGTGGTGGAGCCCGTCAAGTAGCGCCATCCAGCTCTCCTCCCTCTCACACTCCTGGAAATCAACAGCCCCCGGAGCGGTGCTCCCTCCAGGCTGTGCCTCCCCTGGGATGTCTCCCACCGAGGGTGAGGAGGCCCTCAGGGCCGCCTGTCTGTGTCTGCTGATGAGGGACGAGGGAAGAAGCTGTGAAATGGACAGGGATGGCTGCGGTGTGAAGCCAACAGTATTTCCCGGACCTCCTGGGGGGGCTGGCCCCACCCCTCGGCCAAGGCAAGGGCTCCAGGAGCTCCCTTGCCCCCTGCCTTGCACCCTGGTTCTAAGTTTACAAAGTGTTTTCCTCGTTCCTTTAAGTTGTCTTCCCTGCCTCTGACATTCCCTCCCTCCCTCCCACCCGCAGGGCTGAGATCAGAGGGTGGTGATGGTAAAGGGACCCGACAATGACGTGACCCTCCTGTCTCAGGTCAGGGGAGAGAGCTTGGTGGCCTCCCCTCGTCCTCATGTTTACGTTTGCAGTCTGAAGCACTTTACGTGGGGTTTTTTGGTTTTTTGGGTTTTTTTTTTGGTTTGTCTGTTCCTGTAACTTATTCTCCAACTACTGCTTCCAACTGAAATAAGACTATTAAATACCTGTTCAGGAGGGAGAAGAATGACTGTTCTTTGTGTGTTGGTGGCAGGAGCAGAGAGCCAGGGGCTCAGAAAGATTTCCTTTAGAACGTACACCAAATAGCTCCCCTCAGCTCCCTTCCCACCCATTTTTTTTTTCTTCTGAGTCCCAGTTTTAGATGTCTAGAGGTGGCCTTGCTCCACTCCTCTGGGCTGAGGCCCTAGAAGCTGGAAGACACATGGGGTGTGACCCTCCTCCCCCAATACACACGACACATCCCTGGGCCTGGGAACATCAGACTCACGTTTATTAGGAGGGAAGGTGAGGAGAGGGAGGTCCCCTCGCCCTCACTCTCCTTAACATAGTACAGAGTCCCCAAGCCTCTGCCCTTCCCGGTAGGGGTGGGGAAGTGGGTGAGCAGACAGCCTTAGTTCTAGTGGCAATCAAGAGAGAGGCGGGGGGAGGTTTGCATCTTCCTCATCACAGAGGCTCACGGCCCCATCCACCTCTGCCCCTCGCCCTCTGGCAGGCTCACACGTCAAGGGGCTCCCGGCCTCGGTTCTGCCTCTTCACCACAAACACCCTCTGTCCCGACACGGTCACCAGCAGCGTGTGTTCTCCAAAGACCACTGGAGGGGAGACACACCTTCCCCCGCCCCGGGAGAGGGAAGGGAGCAGAGAGTTAGTGGGGTGCGAAGGCCTCCCGGGGGTCACCACAAACTGGCTGGGCTCCAAAGCCAAAGAAATTTGACAGTTTCAAGCTCAGAGATTTGAAGATGAGAGGTCTCCATTAAATCCCCTTCTCTTGCTTTCTCATAATTCTGATGCAGGGGTGAATACCAAGGGGAACAGAGTGGCCAGAACCAGGGACCCCAGGGAGGTGGTGGGCAGCTGGTAGGAGACAGGTGCTTTTCCCTGAGAAGAGAAGCCTCGGGGAGCAGCACCCCCCAACACCGTCACCAGGGCCAGGGGCTCACCCGACAGGCGCTTGAAGGGTACGTTCATGCTGTGGTGCAGCCGGAAACCACAGGCCGTGCTGACCAGCTCAGAGATGGCGCTGGCTGCCTGCTCGTCATTCTCTAGATCCCCAGATGACTGCATGCAGACAGAGGAGGGAAGATGGCAGGAATTAGGGAACAGAATTGGGAGAAAATTCCAAGGACACTTTGGCTCTAGCACTTGTAACCTGCCTCCACTTTCCAATACCCCAAGGTCACCCCCAGTTTTGGAAAGACCCACCTGAAAACTGCCCTGTGACGTTGTTGCCCCTCTTGATGCCATCCTGTTTGTCAACCTTAAAATACCAGGCTTCCTCCTGGGAAGCAGTGACTCTCATCCATTTCTTTACTGACGCTGTTTTCCTAATCCCTGAATCTTGATTTCTCTCCCTGTTCCCACTTATTTGATAAAATCACATTCTCAAACATCAGTGCCCACCCACCACAGACTTGTCCCAGGCGCTGTCTTTTCCTCAGTCTTCCCGTTTGTTGCCCTGTCTGCAGAATCTGAAACATAAACATCCCCTTTGTCCCTGAACCCCTTCCTACTACCTAGCCCTTGGGTAATGATGTCACAGTGGCCTGGGCTTCCTCTTTTCTCGTGATGATCTCAACTTCCTCTTCCTACCTCCTCCCACTGAGTCAAATTCAGCACCCTTTGCTCTCTTGGACATTCTGTACCTCAGTTACCTCATCTGTAAATTGGGGACAACAATACCTATCTTATGGGCTTGTTGTGAGGGTTACGAGAGCATATTAGCAAGATGCTTAGAATAACTCCTAGCATTATATATTTAATTGCTATTATTCTATATCAAACTCAGTGTTTAAAGTTAAGCCACCAAAATTCCCCTTACCTCTCCCCCTCCGCAATCAACTTCCTTTCTTAAGTCCCTGTTTGCTAAGGCACCATCATTCTAGGCTTGAGTTCAAAGTCTTACAGCATGGAAAAGTTATCTCCTCTATTACCTATCTCTAGTCATTAGGAAGACATATCGATTCTTCCTTTAAAAATCTCTTCTCTCCTTGCTCCTTCTCACTGCCACCAGCTGTTTCATACCTAGATTTTGGCAACAGCATCCCTGCTTCTGAATCCCTCTCCTTCCGGCTCATCTTTACACCTAATAGAACAATTCCGCTCAATCACTTCATCAGCTCATGTTTCTGTTCAAAAACCCTTCAAAGCTCCTATTACCCGCCAAGATTAATCCACAGGTGTTAACCCAGCCTTGAAAGTCCTCCACAATCAGATATTTCCTTAACATATCCTCTTCTTCCCCCAAACATTTCCAAATCTTTTCAACATAAACCCACCAGCAATTCAGACAGGCTGATGTCACACTCCTGCAAATATGTCCACCTCCCAGCCCTGAATATGCTCTTTCTTTTCTGCCTGTTCACAACCATCCATCTTTTAAGGCCAGCTGAATTCTTGTCTCTTCCAAGAAAGTTTCCTTGCCAAAACACAAGTTATAACACGAAGGGCTGAATCCTTCACTCTCTGGACTCCTTCAGTTATCTTTACCACGTGCAATACTTTGAACTTTTAACCTTAAGCCTTGTCTCTCTAGCTGAACTTTTAACCTTAAGCCTTGTCTCTCCAGCTAGATTGAAAACTTCTAGAGCACTGACACTATATTGTACTGCAGAACAAAATACCAAAAGCCTCTTCAATAAATACCAAATAAAGACATACTCAAGAATAACTCAGGTAACGTCAGTTATCAACAAACCTGTAACTAGTCTGGCTTTGGTAAAGTCAGTAAACCTCTTTTACCTGAAAACAGTTACAGGACTAAGATTCCAGAGATAGATTAATTGATTTAATTCCTGAATTTAATTCCTATATGCCAGGCATGATACCAGGTAAAGATCAAGAACAGAGACAAATCAGGTTAAACTGGGCAACGTTAGAAGGCATCATCGGGCGATGTGTATTGGAGGAGCCCCCCCTCCCTTTTCCAGAACGCACCGCCAGCACTGCGCCTTCACTCAGCACCAGGTAGCCGAGCTGGTCTGGGATTCGCTCCAGCCCCTGGGTCAGTGCAGAAGTCTAGTGGGTAAAGATGCAATCAGTGAGCAGCAGGCTAAGAGAACAGCCCTTGGCAAACCCAAGTCTCTCTCTTGACAATGGCCCCCCAGGCCTCTTTCCCCAGCCTGGGCCCTTCCAGACCCTCTTCCCTCTACATGGCCTTCAACACTGATCTTCCTGAGCCTCCGTCAGTCCTCACTCTCTGCCCCTGGGCTCCACCGGCCTTCCACACCCCACCTTTGCTACCCCACAGACAACTCCCCTCAGCCCGGTCTCCAATTCCACCTGTGGCCCGCCGCTCCCCCTCAGATTACTCCCCAGCCTCTATACACCCTCCCACCGTCCCCTGCTCAGCCCTCTACGTCGCCACCCCTCCATCTCCATTCCCTCTCGGTCCCGGGGCGGATAGGAGGTGAGGGCGGAGTGCAGGCTCAGGACTGGGCGACCAAAGAGATGGGGGGGGGGTAGGGACACCGAACCCCCGGCGCGTAGTCCCGCGCATGCGTCCTCACTCACCATCGCAGCCTTAGGTGCTGGGGGGCGCTCACTGCCAGACGTAGCTTCCGGCTCCAGTCCCAGGTGACGTGATTCCACCCGGCGGTCTCCTCCTCCTGCCTTGCACCGCCCGACTTGAGTCCCGCCCCCAGAATGCGGATTGGAGAGTGGCTACGTCATCAGACTTACTCTGCCAGTGTGGAGCGCCGCTTCCCGGAGGCGCACGCGGATTGGCCGCAGATCCTCTTTAACATTCATCTCCTCTTCCCTCAGCCCCAAAGCGCCGAGATGGGGGGCATGTCGGCGGAGGGGCGGGCCTGGGGGGGCGGGGCCGGAGGGAGGAGGTTGGGCTAAGGGTTTGTGCTTGCGCACACAGGCGGTCCGGGTTCCACCTAGGGCTAGACCCCCCGCAGTGGGACAGTGAGAGAATAGAGTAAAAAAACGTGAAATGCAGATGAAGAGCTATTCAAGTGCTACTCTTGTGCCTACTCCGGGCAGCTCTCTAAGACAGAAATTTGTTCCCAAAGTGGTTTTTTGTCCTGGGATTCTGTAAGAAACGGTGTGATGGTGCATTGATCCCTCGCTAGCCAAGGCAGCTGCAATACTGAATATTCTCTGCCAGGAATAATTAGAAAATGACCTTGGAGTCATTTTTAAATATATGAGTGTCATAGAAATTTTTTGTTTTAATTTGAATAGTTTTTAGGGCTGCTGCAATGTTAATGTGGGTGAGGGAAAATGATAAGTAGTAATGAAACAGTAAATACTTGATGAGGATGTGGAGAAATTGGAGCCCTCATACATTGCTGGCAAGAACGTAAAATAGTGCAGTTGCTGTGGGAAACAGATTGGCAAGTTTCCTCTAAAAGTTAAATATAGAGTTACTATATTTATAAATGAAAATTAGATGTAGAAAAGTTAAATATGACCTAAAAATTCCACTCCTAAATACATACCAAAGAGGGTTGAAAACATACATTCACACAAAACTTGTACACAAATGTTTATAACAGCATTATTGACAATAGCCCCGAAATGGAAACAACCTAAATATCCATAAACTGAAGGCTGGATAAATGAAATGTGGCATGTCCATACAGTGGAATACTATCCAGCTATAAAAAGGAATCAAGTACGGATCTGTGCTACAACATGGATAAACCTTGAAAACATTATGCTAAGTGAAAGAAATCAGACACACAAGGCCACATATTGTCTGGTTGTATTTATGTGAGATGTCTACGCTGGGCAAATCCAAAGAGACAGAAAGCAGATTAGTGGTTGCCAGGAGCTGAGTGGAGGGGGAAATGGGGAGTGACTAATGGGTGTGAAGATTCTTTTTGGGTGATGAAAACGTTCTGGAATTATAGAGTGATGATGGTTGCACAACCTTGTGAATGTAATGAAAACCACTGCATTGTAAAGCTTAAAAGGGTGAATTTTACAGTATGTGAATCATTTCAACAACATAAAACAAAGTGTTGTTGCTTGAGGAGAAAACTAATTAGAGAAGATGGATGCCTTTTTTTAAAGATGAGGTATGTTTATAATATAAAATTTAAATTGGAGGAGGATGTAGAGAAAGTTCTGTGGGGATGCTTGATTTGCAAAGCCTTCCCTGGCCTTGGATATTGATGACAGTTTGTGGTACCAATTTTTTTTTTTTTTTTTTTGCACATACTGGTTCTGAGCGTTTTCATCTGTATACCGGCCTAACCCACTCATCCCAGATACTATACAGATGAGGAAGTGGAAACAAGAGAGATTGAGCCTTGCTCACGGCACACAGCTGGCAAGTGGCAGAGCCAGATTCCAGTCTAAGTCGGCTGGTGCTGAGGCTGATGCTTTTTCCATTGCTCCGTTGGCCAACTACTTTTTTATTTTTTAAGCTACATTTAATTTTACCTCAGAAATTCCCTGTTCTCATTTTACTTAACACAGAGGAAACTTTTACAGGACCTTGCTCATCAGCCATCATTAGAATTGTCTCATTTTCACAAACAGCTTGAATCATACTACTGATGTAGGGAGCAAAGTTTTTCATCCTTTCATTCAACTGGTGTTATTGAGGACCTTCTATGTACCAGACCCTCTTCTTGGAATTGAAGATACAGCAGTGAATAGAAATAAGACATATTTTTTTTATTGTTTTCAAGTTGTGAGGAAGAGGGTGAGTCAGATAATAGATAAATATATTAAGTGGTGAAAAGTGCTATGAAGAAAAATGAAGCAAAGTTTCCACTCACAAGACCCAGACCTAGTGAATTCTGTAAAACAGACCTTATTAAAATAATTCCTTTCTTTCCTTAGCCTCCCCACAGTTCAGTTACTTTTCTACAATCACCTCTTTTTGTTCTATCTGGTATAAAAGCACATAGATCTGGCCATTTCTTTGGGTCTTCATTTTCTTGTGAGGGCTCCCACGTCACGTAAAACTTGTACTAAGTAAGCCTGTATGCTTTTCTCCTGCTACTCTGTTTTATGTCAATTCGCAGACCCAGCTGAAAACCCTAAGAGGGTAGAGGTAAAAAAATTTGCCTGCCCTACACTGTGAAGGTACTTCTAAGGTAGGATGAGTATTTAATTTTGAACAAAGCACATTAGCCTCCATAATGTGGATGGGCTTCATCCAACCGGTTGAAGACCTTAAGGGAAAAGACTGAGGTCTCCGGAAAAGAAGGAATTTTCATCAAGACTTGAATAACATAGAAACCCTCCCGAGTTCTGGCCTGTTGCCCTGTGGATTTCACACTCAAAACTGCAATATCAGCTCTTGCCTGAATTTCCAGCCTGCTGACCTAACCTACAGATTCGAGACTTGCCAGTCCCCACACTTTGTGAGCTAATTCCTTAAAATAAATACTCTCTCTCTCCCTCCACCCCCCTTCGCCTTATTCTCTGGAGAACCCTAATACAGTGGTTAACTTATGGCTGGTTTCTGTGGGTTTGGCATCTTTGCTGCCTCGGTTAGCATTCTTTTTCTTTTCGATTCTGATTTTTTTGGGGTGGTTGTTGTTTGCTTTGAAACTAGACGTCCTTGCCTCTTATTTTCCTAGTACCAATTCTTACCCTATCAAACAGCCATCAACAAACTTCCCAACCCCAAGTCTGCCTTTCTTGATTCTCTTAACCTTGACCCACCCCTTCAACCAGCACTTTTCAAAGACTACAGTGCAATTAAATTGTTAAAAATTAATTTTTAAAAAGACTATAGGGTAAGAGTCAGAGTCATGTGCTTTGACCCCATAACTGCTCAGCTTGTAAGTGAGCGAGGCAGGCAAACAAAGTGTCACAGTGATGTGTAGTAAGTGCTACACTAGAAATGAGCCCCTTAGGACCCATGGGACAAGGTGTGTGCATTGGGAGGGGTCGAGTGCTACACTAGAAATGAGCCCCTTAGGACCGATGGGACAAGGTGTGTGCATTGGGAGGGGTCGAGTTGGGGGTAAATTTTAAAATGTGTGGTTTCCAGTCAGGAGGCTCTGCTAGGCTGAGAGACGGGGTGTTGGGATCTTTTGGAAACGGCTGAGAAAGGAGGAGGCCAGCTCCACCACTGGGATGGACGAAAACATGTTATTTCACGCCTCACGATTTGTTCCCTCCTTTTCAAAAGAAGGAAGGGCAAAGAGCAAAGTTAGAGACCACGAGGCCGAAACAAAAAGTCTCTAAAAACCAGAAGGAAATCCTGGGAGCAGCTGGAATAATATAGAAAAAAATTATTCAATTTGTAGGTTAGCAACGTGCTAGGTAACTGAGGTAGACACTGGAATTTCAAGGTGGACCAGGTCCTCATCTTCAAGGAACTCATTGTCTAAAATAAGCTCAGTGAGCACTCACCAGCGTATTCTTTTTTCTTTCTTTCTTTCTTTTCATTTTATGTGTATTTACATAATCGAAAAATTAAATTGTGGCTATTACAAATGCTATGTGTCATCCAGTTTGCACTGTTCATAGTCATCAGTTTTCTCCCATGTCAGTGTCACATCTCCCAGTCTCTAAGGCTACTTAGCATTCCAGGATTCAGGTATCACAACTGATCTAATCGTGCCCATTATCTTCATCACAATATTCTTAATATTCTTCCTCAAGGTATACAGATACTTGCACAGCGAACTCCCTCAGGGTCTCCGTCCAGTTTTCACCTTATCCGAGAACCTGATCCTGTCCCCTTGATAGAAAACAGCACACCCACCACCACCCTGACCTTCTACATCCTCTCACCTGACTTTGTTATTAAACTTTATTCAAAAGCAGAAACTAACACACCATTGTAAAGCAATTATACTCCAATAAAGACGTTAAAAAAAAACCTTTATTCAAGCATAATATACATACAGGAAAAGTTCACACATCATAAATGTACAGCACA